TTGGGGGGCGGGGTTCAGGGTGAGGGCGTTGGGGGGGAGGCGTTCAGGGTGAGGGCATTGGGGGGAGGGGGTCAGGATGAGGGCATTGTGGGGGGAGGGAGGGAGGGGGTCAGGGTGAGGGCGTTGTGGGGGAGGGGGTCAGGGTGAAGGCATTACAGGGGGAGGGGGTCAGGGTGAGGGCGTGGGGGAAGGGGATCAGGGTGTGGGATCGGGGTGGGATGCTCTTCAAAGGGCCGGTTTGGACTCAATGGGCTGAATGGTCCGCTTCCATACTGTGGGGATTCAATGATCCTATGATTGAACTAGACTATTGTACTCTAGCTAAGTTTTCTTTTGGGTTCAATGGAGTCCATGGTAATGCAACCAGCAAAGATGTTGGTTTATGTCCTTTGGGGCAAAAGATCTGCCGTCTTTATCTAATCTGGTTCACGCTTGAGTCCAAATCCACAACAGTGAGGTTGACCCTTAACTGCCTTGTCAAATGGCTGCAAGTTCAAGGACAATGAGGGATGGACAATGCTGACCTTGCCAGTGACTCCCATGAAAGAATAAAGAAAAGGTAATAAGAATGACCCACTCAATGCTGGGACTAATTTTCTAGCAAGACTTACAACCAAAGTTAGGGTCTTGTGCCACACATGCCCTCATAGCTACTTAGGGCACATTAAAGACTCTTAAACAAAGAGAATGCTGGGGCAGACTGCATTGAAGCTCATTATGATGTATGAACAAGTGGATGGATTTACACTCATTAGCTTCATATAAGTTGTCAATGCTAGCCATTATATTATAGAGAGGTGTTGAGAGACATTATCAATGGGAGGAAGCAGGGACGGAAAGATGGCTCAATATACTGAGTTACTCTCCTGTATCTTTAAGCTTTGGTTTTGTTATGACCCACTGGGATTGCACACTGCAAATACTCCCGGAGTTGCACCCAATGTTAACATTTTTAGAAAAATACACACAGTTCCTAAATTTCGCTGACTTTTAGACCAAAGCTGTTAGAAAACATGGACCAAGTTTCCGTGTTAACCAAGAAGAAGTATCTATTAAGGCAATTAGATTATCGCTACAGGTAGACAGATATAAACTGGTGGCATGTAACTCTAAACTAAAAGTCTAATCTCCTTAAAACTGCCCCCCCCCCCCCCCCCAACACACACACACACAAACAAACAAATAGGGACAATAGATTATTGGTGGATGTAGAAAGACTGGAAAGCTAGTTCAGCGGTCTTTGCATTTTTGTTTCGATGTTAAGATGATTTTCCTTTGACTAGGCAGACCCCTTGTTGTTCAGGTGTCCTTCTCCAAATGCTTCCACTAGTTTATAAGGATTACAGAGTGGCTATTTAGTCAGAAAATGTCTTTAATTTTTCATTTCAAAATTTACAGCTTATAGCAAGAAAGATAACTGATTTTCTTCAGATTTTTAAAAGGAATTTTTGGCTGCAGAGACCAGGCAACTTCCTATTCCTCCCACACTCTGTGTCTTTGTAACTTGTTTCCAGCTCCAAGCTGCTCAGCCACCAATCTATCAAACGGATGTTGGCAAGCAAAAGGTCTTTGTTGTTGATAACTGTTGCTAGTCCACAGACCCTGTTGCCAACAAGAGCTGCGTCAGTACACATTCTTGGTTCAGATTGTCTACAGTCTGAACTTCAATTACGGCTTGTTCAAACATTTATTTGCAATTCTTGCCATGAGGATCAGGTTAATTTCTTTAAAAACTACAGCCACTCTTTCAAACACTCTTTTTAAATAGTTCCTTCTCAGTTCAGTGTGCAGTTTTTAAAAATACAAAAGTAAAAAAAAAATGGTCTGATCATGCCATGGTTTTAAAATCACACAGGGGAGATGTTGGGATAATGTGGGAATGGTAGTGCTGTGTTAATGTTCCTGGAATGGTCATCCGAAGATCTGCGCTAATGCTTCATAGACGATTAGAATCCCACCAGGGCAGCCTGGCTTGTTTAAATTCAAGTAATTAATAAATCAAGAATAAAATGCTAGTTGCAGTAATAATGGTCATTAAACTCCTTGATTATTGTAAAAACTGTTGATTTATTAATGATCTTTGGGGAAGAATATTTGCCTTACCTTCCAAACGCATGGCCCTCTCAAACAAGCGCAAAGGCAGAAGTCACAAGACACCAGGTTATAGTCCAATAGGTTTATCTGAAATCACAAGCTTTCGGAGCGTTGCCCCTCCATCAACCTGATGTCATGTGACTTCTGACCTTGTCCGTCACAGTCCAACACCAGCACCTCCACATCAAGAACAAAGGCAACAGAGACATTGGAATGTGCCACCAGCAAGCTCCTTACCAGGTCAAACACCATCCTGACTTGGAAATATTTGACACTCATTTATTGTTGCTGCGTCAAAATCCTAAAACACAATCCCTAACAGCTGAAGAAAATTAAAGGTGGGTAATAACTGCTAGCCTTGTCAGCAATAGCCACATTCCAAGAATGAAAAAAAGTAGCCACTTGGCCACGGATTATTTGAGCCTGAACAAAGCGACATGTGAATAAATGTATTTTATTTCTATTGTTATTACCTGATGCGTAACATGGAGAGATCTAAGATTAAAAAAAATTAAATGTCACTTGCCGAAGAAAGGCAAAATGGTAGGGATTTCTCTTCACTTGCATCAAGAGACTGAGGTATTATTAACTCTTCCATCTTTTGCCGGAGCTACTCTGCTTATTTCGTTAATGAGGTTCATATGTAGTGACATAGTCAAAGTCATGAAATATGTTAATGTGGAATGCCTTTGTTTGCTGTTTTAACATTGGTGTTAAAATAATCAGTTAAATCTCCAACAGGGCAATTTAATATAAACTAAAAACACACAACAGTTTTAGCCCATTAAAAGTAATTAAAAATACATTTTAAAAAGTACAATAAGGGGCCATATGGTATAAAGAATACCCTTCACTGACAGATGTATTGTAATATTTACATCATTTGGGAACTTAATGAACACAAACAATTTGCAACATTACATGATGATTGAATAAATTTCTGTTGAGTATTCGTATGCATGGATCATAGAGTAACTTTATTCATAGCAAGCCTTTTGTATCCACAGGAAACATATGTACAAAATTGTGTGTACGATAAGTCAATTGATGATGTTATCTACAGTCGGAACTCTGGTTGTGCTAGACACTGCAACCAGACCATTGTTGTAAGTATCTTACATTTGCGTCATGTCTACCGTAATGAATCAATATTTGATAAGCTGCACATTATTCGTCTGACCTTGTGTCTTGCTCAATTATGTCATTTGGGGATTTAAAACAGTCCAAACTCTTTAACCGTAGTTTACAATGCAAGAAACCAAAGACTTTTGTGCAAAAAAATGTTAAGTGATAACCCCAAGGAATTATGCTGATTAAAGAAAATGTGCCATTTTCTATTTGTTGTAGGTTGGTGTATAATAAGTGAGTTTTGACATAATTATTGAGGCACGCTAACTGGAGAATTAAGGATATTGAGGGTACAGAGTTGCAGTGTTTTTATTGGCAGGTGGCATGTAGCGTAAAATGATAGTGTTGTTATTGCAGAACATATGATTTCCTTTCAGTTTGTGACCAGTCATTGCTAGGTCAGAAGCAAAGAGCGGGCTGCTTTGAATTACCAACAGCTGTTTCATTTCTATAAATGTTGTAGAATCACAGAATTTCTAGCAAGGAAGGACGTGATTGGGCCCATCATGACAGTGCCAATATTCACTCTCCATTAGGAACTGCCCACACAAATACTATTTTCTTGATCATTTTCGTATTCTTTATATTCCTCCTTTTTCAAATACTTTTTCACTTCCTTCATAAATGTGAGCATTTCTACCTTAATAGTCACTTATAGCATAAAGTTCCAAAGTAAGTTTACTAACCGTCCACAAAAGTGTTGAACGCCTTGCTTCCAGGGAAGGCTGAAGAGGAGCAGGGTTGGAGAATTAAGTCCCTACCTGTACATACCCAATTTGTAGTGCACCCAATTTCTTAACAGAATATTTCTGGGCCAATAAATGAGGCCGTGCTTCCAGCATGTGCATCCCTCACTTTAATTGTATATTTATTTACATTAGGCCCCTTGCCCGAACTTTGAACTGGTGGTGAGGGACTGCCAACAACCTATTGCTTGCCCAGTTGAAATGGGTGCTTCAGGGATCCCAGGGTCTGTCCTATTCAAGAAAGTCTTTTAAAGGTAGGTAGATATTGGTGTATATGCAGATTTTTGTTTTGCGTCTTCTTATAAACATTGTTGTACTTTACCCCATGCATTAGTTGTTTTGCTGGGAATTCTGCATTTTGCTGCCATCTTTCTTCATTTACATTTTTCTTCTGATGAGCCACAAAGTGCAGCTGGAATAATACTTGAGACATATTTGGATTGCAGTTGACAGTTCCCTCCATATGTGAACATGGACATACCCTGGCATGTTAGAGAAGACATTCTTGCCCACACTTCCTTACTGAGCTCCTTTTCACTATCTTTCTCCTTAAATACTGCCCTCTGCGTTCAAATCTGTATGCACTTCAAGCTTACAATATTGTCCTCCTCTATCTCATGTTTGACTAAGCTCATACTGTGTTTTTATCCTTTCAATTGAGAGTTTTGTTTTAGATAAATCCATCCTGTGTGCAGAGCTACCTGTGCCTTGGAAATCATCCCAATAGCAAAGAGGTCCAATGCCATCCCTTCCATTTGGATTTAGAGTGATGTGTCTCGTCTATCTTAACATACAACAGTAGGGATAATCTTGAATCCAACACCTAATTTTTTGTGCTCTATTTGTCAGGCCTCCATCTTACTGTTTCTTATGTCTTTGGTTTCAATTATTTTAGGGGTGTATCGTACTTAAGGATAACACCATTGACATTATTTGTGTGATGTGAAGGGGTAGCCACAAATTACACTTGTGCAGAGGCTTTGGGTGAAGACGTAGTGATTGCACATGGAATTCCACATTTGTTCTCAAATGTTTATCTCAGTAGTTCTTCATATTGCTGTTGTACTTCACTCTGACTGCAAATTCAGGTAGTTCTCCTATAATACGATAGTTGCGTTCCTGTGTGACCTCGCACTGTAGAAAATTGCCATAGATAATTGCATTATAAGGAAATTGCTATAGAAAATCATTATATCTGTACAGCAGAAAGTTTGTGTTATCCAAACAGCATCCACAATTCATCAATTAAGTTACAGCCAATTTGCGTTAATGAAACATGCATTATAGCAGAACTACCTGTAGCTGGTGGAATCGTCAGAAAACATCAAAATAATTTTAACTTCTGGAATAACACAAAATGAACCAAAATGGGCCATAACGGATTAAACACTTTGCTGAATTTTTTTCCCATTTCTGTGATATTTTATCTGTCAACAAAACTTAAATTTGCACACATTCTTTTTGAAATTTGTTTATGATTTCACTAAAAGTAGTGAGCACACAAAATCTGGGGTGACAGAGGAAATTTCTAAGTGTTAGTGTGGTTTGTTAGTATAGGAATAGTACAGACAGATGTGATTCAAGATCCTATCTGTAAGTCGCACGTGATGTTTTCCACCTTAACCAAATACTAGGCAAGACAAGGCATGGACTTGCTTAGAAAAATAGAAGGAAAACAGGTGGATGAGTCAAAGTGGGTTACAACAGGACTTCATCACCTGGAGCCTGGAAGCAAATTGCCTATCTCCTTCTTGTTGTGAAAAATAGAGAACATGAAGAGATCAGTGAAAATAGGGATAAATGAACCCACTCCACTGATGGGAAGGATAGGTACACAGCCACCATGAGTGTAAAGTTGCCAAGCTGTTTCTCCCCAATTCTCTGTCATTGCCATCTTACCTGAGCCTTTTTGTAGGCAGCTGAGGAAACCAATTGACTTAAGCAGTAGCCTCATTAATATATACTCTTATGAACTCACAGGACAAAAGTCTGAGTCACATAATACATACGTAACTATGGTAAGCTAGGAGGCTTACTACAACACGACAGTACTACAGTAGTACGTTGTTGTATTTCTATCCCAAATATCTCCTGTTTCATGCAAAAATATTGCATGCATGATCACTTACATGGCTAACCAAGTTACCCTACTTAGCATGTGACTGTTCTCGTGAATTTATCACTTATAAACTGAAGGTCATTGTCACTCATCACAATGTTTGGAATGCTGTAAGTGCATTTTCAGGCATTCTACAGTTTCACTGATAGTTGTTGAAATCCGCTGGTCTATCTCCTAGACACAGTCTATGGTAATCTACAGTAACAAAGTAATCAGTTCCTTTGAGAGTGATGGGGTTCACATGTACTGGCTGATATGGTCCTTGATTTCATTGCTCACTTTTGACCAATAGAACATTTCTCCTGCCTTCCTCCGACTTGACTCAATTTCTTAATGCCTTGCATGGATGCATTTTAACATCTTTCAGTAGGGATAATGACTCCATTTCCTTTGATGTGTGCCACCTTGGGCTGTCAATTCATTTCTGTTTGCCGAGTATTCTGTTGTGACCACAGGAGTGCCATTGATGCTTTTAAACCATCCTTTCATCTGAACTTCTTGCAGCGCATGAAGAGTTGCATCTTGTTGGGCAGTTCACTTGATTTGAGCAAGGTGCTCGTCTCTCAGTTTTAGTGTTTATGCTGGATTAGTGACTTCCAGAACATATAAACCTGCTGCTTCACATTGGTTCTGGAAGACCACAGTGATATAGCGTCCTTTACTTGCTTCAGTGAAGCGCTGCATCCATTTCCTTTGTTTATATGTCAAGTCCAGATGATATCTCTGTAACCCAGTAACATTCTTTGTAGACAATTTGGGGCATTGCAGTGGATTTTTTAAAAATACGTTGAAGTGGTTTTGGGTCAGACTCAACTGGCAATTTGACTCTTTCCAGTAGACATTGATGAAAATGTTTACAAGCAAAGACAGGCCACCCTTTCTCAATTTGAGTGTAGTGTTGTTCTGTTTGCATTAATACCCTGGATGCAAACGTAATCCATTCTCCTTGCTGCACTAATGTTACTCCAAGTCCTGTCTCACTGGCATCATGCTCCAAGATGACTTCTTAATTTACGCGATTTATGGAGAAATGGTGGCATGATGGGAATGTCACTAGATTAGACTACCAGAGCCCCAGGCTAATGTGAGGAGAACATTGGTTTAAATCCCACCGCAACAGCTGAGTAAACTTTAAATTCAATCAATAAATCTGGAATAGGGAACAGAGGGCTGACCTGATTACAAGCATAAAACTATTGTCGATTGTTGCAAAAAGCCATATGGTTCACTAATTACTTTTCTGATGCTGAACTGTTTCATCTCATTTACTTCAAATGATTGTGTTCAGAAAGACATCCTAAACCTTCAACACAATTTTTCACGCCTCTATGATCTGTTCTGTGGTGCAACAGTTCACAGATCTCTTTTGGCATGTTGAGGGTTACCAGTGAAATCCTTAGACTTGCTCTAGCTGAGATGAGTGGTTTTTGCTTGCTGTCTATGATCTAGAACTCCAGATTTCCAATCGTGTCTAGCTTCGGGCTTTCAAAGTGATTTGTCCTTTTGGCATAAGTATTTTGCCATTTATGGCCTCAACCTTACTTTTCAGAGCACAATTTTTTGGATACATTACTGTTGATCTTTGAAGATCATGATGTTACATAAGTGTCATTTTGACACTTTATGTTGACTTGATGTACTCTTTCTGCAGTCATCTGATTCATCTAAATATTCAGCTGCTACCTCACCACCCAGTGGAGATCTGTACCTGCTTGTTTTGATTTCTTTTAATAAAACACTTATTGCAAAATTATTCAATTTCTTGCAGTGAGGACGCTATTTTTACAATCTGGACATGCTGTCTTTTCCTTTGTGTAATGTACTTCCCAGTATTTTCATCCTGCCCTTTGTGACTTTTCTTATCTTTTGGCCTGGAGTATTGGAATACCAGGTCTGGTTTGTTTTGCCACAAATATACTCCAATTGTTGATTTACAATCTCACCACTTTTGCATGTCAATCTTCTTCCTGAGAGTAAGTTTCTTCTTTCTCAGTAGACATTCTCTGCAGGACCTCTCATGCTAATGAAACCCTGTCTTTAATTAGTTGTGCAAATTCACAGGATTCTGTGAGTTATGTTAATGCAATCAGATATTGATCAATGGATTCTTTTTCACCTTGATCCTAATATTGAACCATATCATAAGCAATATCATTTGGAGTTCAAGGAGTTCAAAGCCTTCAAGACTTTCAAAATTTTTGCTGTCCACTTTTTTCTTTGTTTTTCAGAGATATTTAGGGCAGCATATGCATTGTAACAATCTCTCCCAAGCTGTAATAAAAATGTAGCTACTTGTTGTTGCTTTGGTTTGTTAATTAAATCTGTCACAATTTCATGCTCTTGGAATTGCAAGTAGAAAAACTGTTAGTTCTACTTTAATCACCTTTTCATTTCAACTGGTACTGAGAGAGTAAAGTTTATTGCCATTTCAGCTATAGTTGCTTCTTTGTACTTTTCTATGACTTCTTGTGACTTTTAGCAGCTCTGAACATTTCCAAGTTCCTCTTTTAATAGCTGTGCTTCTATACAGTTCTTGAACACAATCTCTGTTCTATTTAAAATATGTTATGAACTTACAGGACAATAGTTTGATTTTTATTTTATTGAAATGGCTGTAATGGTAGAGGTCACATGATAATAGCAAGCTGGAGACACATTACTACAACATTGCATTTTGATCTCAGATAGTTGAGCTCCTTTCCTATCCATGAGAAGATGATGGCATCCTACTGAATAAGGGCCTGTTTAGTAAAACCGGTTCAGAACAAGTTAAAGATGTTTCTTAGTGGGACTAGAAGTCCTCCAGACTCCAGAAAGAAGGAGATGACTGTTTCCTTGTGTAACCCTTCCCAACAACAAAATGGTCCTAATGGCTCCATAAATTCCCCACCACCGTACTGTGATTTAACTTGGTGCTGGCAAATGCCCTTTAGACCCTGAAATAGCAAGGTGTAGAGCTGGATGAACAGAGCAGGCCAAGCAGCATCAGAGGAGCAGGAAATCTGACGTTTCAGGCCAAGACCCTTCTTCAGAAAACTTTAGACCTTTAGGCCTTTAGACCCTGTTGTTTTGTTTTGCCTGCTCCCCGTTTCTGCCCATTATAGGCAAGCAGTGACCAATAAGATGTAAGTGAGGACAGACCGTTAAAGTAAACTGAAGCCACCCACCACGATGGCTAGTATTGAGTGCCATTGGCTCCCTGTCCTTTATACCCCTGACTATCCTCATTTTCAGATGAGGGGTTAACATCGACCCAATATGGATCTGTTGGGAAGGGGGAAATAGCATTAATGTACAATAATATATAGTAAACATTGATACACTGTCACTGAGAGAATGGTTATGATCTTTTAAAATGTGTTGAAAATCTTACGTTTTTGTTTCTGTGTAGAAACCAGGATGCTGTAAGGGGTTCTTTGGTCCTGATTGCAAGCCTTGCTTAGGTGGTTTTAAAAATCCATGTTATGGACACGGACAAGTAAGTTGCTGGAAAATTCAGTCTTAATTCATTCTTCAAATGTAAGTCTTTTTTATCCATTCATGGGATCTGGGCATCACAGGTTATGCCAGAATTTATTGCCCATCCCTAAATACCTGAGAAGAAGATGTCGTTTTAAAACAGCTGCTGTCCTTGTGCTATTGGTACAATGCTGTTAGGCAAAGAGTTCCAGGAACATGACCCAGTGACAATGAAGGAGCAGGAATATAGTTCCAAGTGAGGATGGTGTGCGCCTTGGAAGACAACTTTCAGGTGGTAGTGTTCCCATGTATCTGCCATCCTTGTATTTTTAGGCAGTGGGGTCACTGGTTTGGAAAGTGTTTCAGAGGGGCTGTTGGGTTACTGCAATGCACCTTATAGATGCGACATGATGCTGCTGTCCATCAAAGTTTTTGAGTTTTGTTGTAGCTGCACCAATCCAAGCAAATATAGGGTATTTTATCACACTTCTAATGTGTGCATTGTAAGTGCTAGCCAGTTATTGGGGAATTGAGTTAGTCACTGCAGAATTCCCAGACTCTGACCTACATTGGTTATATTCTGTCTTGTTGGAGATGGTACTTGCTTGCCCCTTGCGTGGTGCAAATGTGACTTGCCATTTATCAGCCTGAGCTTGGATGTTGTACAGAACTTGCTGCGTATGAATGTATGGCATTTCACTATCTGATGATTTGTGCAATCCTTACAAAACATCCTTGCCTCTTATGATGATTGGAAGTGCATTGATAAAGGAGTAGCAAATGGTTGGGTCTGGGAAAAATGACCACTAACAAGATGATCTGTACTGAAATAATGCAATGACAATCTTAATCACAAAGCGATTTGCAATAGTAGTTAGTCTGGATCCGTTGTTGGGTGTAGACTCTGCAGTTTGCAATCAACACTGCGCAAACTTGAAAGCTCAAGGTTTGATAAAATACCTCAGGCTTTAACAGCATACTGAGCATACTGAACTGACATTGGCTTCCAGTCTCCCATCTTAAAATTAAAATTCTTATCCCTGCATGGCTTTGCCAATCATTTTCTCTCTAACCTTATCCAATTATACAACCTGCATTTACTTTGTGGCCCTTTGATTCTGGCCTCTTGTGTATCACTTTCTCCTTTCTTTCTATCATTGGTGGCCTGGTCTTCACAGATATGGGCCCCTTTCCATAATCACTTTCGAAACACTCCCATTCTTATATCGCCTTCTTTGAAACTGTCCTTTTAGTCCAACAAAAGTTTCCAAACTTCTGGCTTCCACTTTCTAATCTCTGTTTTTTCATTCAGTGGCCCTTGTCATATACACCTTTGTGAAGGATCTTGAGGTTTGTTTCGATCCTAAGGGGCACATATAACTGCATGTTATTGTTATGTTGGTAATAGTGACAGAAGTCTCTAAATTTAACAATAATAAATCATTAATTTTGTTGTTCTTAGTGCATTGATGGCTTAGAAGGAGATGGTTCATGCAAGTGCTATTCAAGTTTTAAAGGAATTGCCTGTCACATTTGTTCTGGTTATAATAAACATGGAGAAAACTGTGACCAAGGTCAGTAAATTACAAAATTAACAATCATTGTCAGTGTGGGTTTGCTGTGCAGAGAAATTACAGCAAACTTTTTATTAACCGGACCCTATGGGACCAGGAGAGTGCTGGTTCATCAAATATTTGGATAATCAAGAGGTCTGCATAATCAATGTTAGAACGCACACTAAGTAATATAAATGTAATGCAGGGGTGTGTACACATGACTGTTAGACTTTATTTATGGCATAATCATTTAAGTAATGATGCAACTTTGCCTTAAATAAAACTTACCAACAGAGAACTTTCTCACTTGCACCTTCAACTGACTACTTGGACATGTACCAATTATCAATACTTACAGGGTTACATGCCAGCATGGTTATTATAACATAATTTGCCAGATGGAAGGCCAATAAATTGATTTTACCTCACACCCCATATTACTCTCCGACAGAGAGTAAAATCATGCAGTGTCTAACCATTGTTGCATCAATCTTGGCAGTTTCCTGCTGAGGTTAGTATTGTCTGTGATTTTATTTATTTTAAGTCAGGAAGAATAATGTAATCATCTCTGTGACTGAGGTAGACTATGAGGAGATATATTCACAGAATGTCTGTGTTGACTCTGATTTTCCAAGATTGGTGAAGCATGACCCTTTCTGATGCGAAATACATTCAGTACTTGAAAAATAATCCACAGACCTCATCTGACATGGATCTCATGCCAGTAAAACGCAATAAAATGTTCCTTGTTTCCTTTCACAATAATACCCAGATCTGACATTAGTGAGCTGATCAACAGAACCTGTTTAAAAGATGTTAATATGACTTAACCCAGCAAAAGGTTAGAGCTTTACAGGTTTGTTGAATTTGTTAGCATTTTCAATTTGCTGTAGCTATTTTATGAAATTGCCTGTGTACCAGTACCACAGATATTATTCTGATAGTAAAATTCTTACTTGCTTTATGAATGTAATTCTTGAACATTATACTGGATGCCTAAAGCTCAAATATTGTGGACATTAATGTAATGCACACCATTAGCCTCTCATGACTCAACCAGGCTCATTTCTGCTCACTAGAATAAGCCATTGGACAGATAGTGAAGCAGACCCTGCACTAGACACAGCTAAGCAAGAAAAAACCAATAAAGTAAATTTGACATTACACTGACCATCTTTCATGTATGCGGGAATGTAACCTGCTGCTTTGAACAATTGCCTTTCTTTTTGCCACGTTTTTTCTGAAGAATTTCACCAGTACCTTTGCTAACAACATACATTTATTTTTTGTAGAAAAGTATATAGAGGTTGAAATTGCATTTATATCTGTGGTGGTTGATGTGAATCTCCTTTCCAGATTGCCCTTGTTTGCATGGGATTTGTGATAACAGACCTGAAAATGGAGGGATTTGTCAGCCTGGTACTTGTGAAGAGGGTTTTACAGGTATATTCTGTGACAAGAAGACAGAGTCTTGTGGCCCAAGTGGATTATCCCAATTTTGTCATGCATTTGCTGTGTGCGAATATGACAATGGCACTGCCAGGTAAGAAGAACAAGTAGCAAATTTCAAAATAATAATTACCCTTCAACTTTTTTAGCCATTTAAAGAAAGGAAAATCTTACATTAATATAGAGTATTTCACAAATTTGTGCTGCTGCCAAAATAAGCAGTTTGAAAGTGTAATCAGTTGTTATGTAGGAAAAATGGCAGCAAATCTGGGCAAAGCAAGGTTCTAACAAACAGCAAGACAAATCACAACCAGATAATAGGTTCAATAATGATGGTTATTTGTTTTTGTGGATTCACTGTATGAATCAATTAAGTATGTTGCCATTGACAGATCTACAACGTATAGAAATCCTTACCATCTCATGCATTTGCATTATAATTTTTTTAATACAGACCTATGTTGGAAATGCTTATATAATCTTTTTATGCTTTAACTACACCCTACCACTAGTGATGATACTATATTTTTCACTTATACCAGCTCTGCAGCTTTTGAAATGGAGGCAGGCTTAATCTCCAAATAATTCTGCATCCTTGCTTCCTAAATTGTCATGAGTTCAGTTAGAGCGACAATGTTATAAAATCTTTCAAGAAAATAAATATAGAATGCTTGACATTGGCAATTAAGTTGTTTTTGCATTCCATACCGCTAAGAGCAAAGAACTGGATCAAATTAGAACTAAAGGTCTTATGAAAAATAAAACTTAAAATTACAGTTACATACAAACTGAAGAGATGGGACTAAAACCAAAACTATAATTCTTTCTAAAACAAATGGTTTAACTGTCAGTTTTTTAAAACTTGGCAATAGTGCACCCTTGTTGATGTATTAGCCAACACACTTTATTTGGCATCTTTAAAACATGATACCAGTTAATATACTATGCATAATTTATTAAATTATATTATTAATGGTGAGATAATTGTTATTACTGCATGTAACTTTATACTCCTATTAGCCAATCAGTGAAAGATGGAAAAAGAGCCAATTCTTACTCAGTTTAGATTTATTCACATATATGTTATATATTCACATTTATGTTACCATGTGCATACCTCCTTATGTTCTGCACCACCATTTCAGTAAATGTCTCTTTGTACTCTTTGTTAAACAATGGAACTAATTGAGCCAAATGAAACTAAATTGAACTCAGTTAATGAACAACAGTCTAAAAAGGCAAAAGTGCATGTGGTAAAGTCAAATCAATGTGCTGTGTACAGTTACTCACAATTGATATACATTTGATATCTAATTGATGGAGTGTGAAAATGTTAACAGAATAAACAGTTAAAGCCTGATATTTTGCCTTCACTCTCCATTGGCCATCAGTTGTATCAAATGCTGTAGAAAAGTCAGAAAGAAACAAGTTTCAGAGTTAGTAGGAACTGCAGATGCTGGAGAATCTGAGATAACAAGGTGTAGAGCTGGATGAACACAGCAGGCCAAGCAATTTTCTGAAGAAGGGCCTAGGCCCGAAACGTCAGCCTTCCTGCTCCTCTGATGCTGCTTGGCCTGCTGTGTTCATCCAGCTCTACATTGTTATCTCAGAAAGAAACAAACTGGGCAAACCACCTGATGTCAACTCAGGCACAAGAAACAATAACATAATACCAGCCCTGTCAGCCCTACAAACTTCTACAAAGTGGCACAGTGGAATGCAGTTTGGAAGGAGTCCTCAACATTGACTCTGGACCCCATGAAATCTGACGGCATCAAGTGAAACATGGACAAGGAAATCACCTCCTCATTACCCCCTAACAGCCTCCTACACTGATCAATCATCATTCCTCCATATTGAAAACAACTTTGAGGAAGTACTGTGGCTGGAAAGGGCACAGAATGTACTGTGGGAGATGGACTTCAAATATTTATTACTAAAAGCAGGGCTGTTTAGCATCACTGCTAACAGAGCTAGCCATGTCATGAGGGTATAGCTGAATTGGCCTGAGCAGCTACTGAGGGAGATAATAACAGGGTAAAACCTACTAGACCTTGTCCTCACCAACCTACTGGATGCATTTGTCCATGAGATTGTAGGTAATAGTGACCTCTACAATATCCTTTGGAAGACACCATCCCCTCCTAACTTCACATTGAGCATACCATCCATTATGTTTTGCAGTACTACTAGATTCTGCGAAATGAAAGAGACCAGAATTGCTCAAAACTGGTATCTATGAGGTACTGTGGTCTGTCAACCTCAATCTGTAACCTCATGGCCCAGCATACTTAGTCTATCACCAATAACTAGCCAAGGGATCAATCCTGATTCAAGGAAGAATAAAGGAGGCTATGCCAAAAAGCAGCACTAGATATTCCAAAATATTAGACTTCAACCTGTACTACAACATTGGACTAGTTGCATATGAAAATATAAAAGCAGCATGCAATACCAAAAGCTAAGTAATCCCATATCCATCAGATCTGATCAAAGCTCTGCAATCCTGACACATCCAGTTATGAATTGTGGTGGACAAATAAACAGAAGGTGGAAGCTCCATAAATATCCCCATCCTCAATGAAAGGGAACTACAGCAGTTTAGGATAAAAGGAAAGGCTGAGGCATTTGTAGTCATCTTCAGCCAGATGTGCCAAGTGAATGATCCAACTTGGCTTTCTCTGGAAGTCTCCAACATCCCAGATACCAATCTTCTGCCCATTCGATTCAATCCACATGATATTTAAAAACTGCTGAAGGTACTGGATACTGCAAGATCCATAGTCCCAGACAGCATTTTGGCAGTAGTACTGATGACTTGTGCTCCAGAATTAGTTGAGCCCCTAACCAAACCCTTGCAGCATGGCTATATAACTGTCATCTACTCAATATGGAAGATTGTACAGATATGTCCTGTCCACAATATGAAGGATCACTCCAATCTGCCAATTTCTACAGTATTAGCCTCTTCTCGAACAGCTGCAAATGATGGAAGGGGTTATCGACAATGCTACCAAGCAGCAATTACACAGCTATAACCTGCTCACAGATCAAAAACAGAAGTTGCTGGGAAAGCTCAACAGGTCTGGCAGCGTCTGTGAAGAAAAAATCAGAGTTAACATTTCGGATCCGGTGACACTTCCTCACTGCTCGCTGATGTTCTGTTTGTGTTTCACCACAAACCACTCATCTCCTGACCTCATTAAAATCTGGATTCAAACATTGATATAAGAGCTGAACTCAATTTGGGAGGCAACAGTGACACCCTTGACATTAGGTAGCATTGACTGAGTATGATATCAAGGAATACTAGCAAAATTGGAGTCAGTGAGAATTAATGGAAAACTGTCTGAAGATTAGTGTCATAATTAGCTCAAAGGAGAATGGCTGTATTTTGGAGGTTATTCACCTCAGTTCCTAGATATCACTGCAGGTGTTGTCAGGGTAGTGTCTTAGGCCCAACCATTTTCAGCTACTTCTTCAATGATCTTTATCTCATCCTAAGGTCAGAAATGGGTACACTTACTGATGACACTGTTCAGTACCATTCAGAGCTCCCCATACACTGAAGAAACATGATGCCAATATGCAGCAAGACCTGGACAACACTCAGGCTTTGGCTGATAAATAAAAAGTAACATTTACCACGCATTGTCAGACGATGACCAACTCCAACAAGAGAGACTCTCACCATCTCCCCTTGATGTACAATGGCATTACCATTACTGAATCCCTGAGTACCAACATTCTAGGGATTAGCATTGATAAGAAGCTGAAGTGGACTAGCCAAGTAAATATTGTGTCATAGGTTGGGAATTCTGTGGTAATTCCCTTTCTGACTCTCCAAAGCCGATGCACCATCTACAATATGCAAGTCAGCAAGACGGAATGCTCTCGTCTTGCCTGGCTGAATGTGGCTCCAGCAATGCTGAAGAAGTTTGATGCCATCCAGGACAATGCAGCCTATTGATTGGCACCTCATACATTATGAACATTCACTGCCTTCACCAGGCATACAAAGTTGCAGCAGTGTGTATTAAATGCAAGATACACTTGGCAACTTACCAAAGCTCTTTCAACAGTACCTTATGAAACCACAACCTCTACCACCTAGAAGGACAAGGGCAGCAAAAACATGGAAATGCAATGAGCTGCAAATTCCCTTCCAGGCCATATGCCATCCTGACTGAAAATTATATCCTCATTCCTTCGCTGTTGCAGGATCAAAATCCTGGAACTGCATTCCCAGCAGCATGGATAACAAATGCTGGCCTTGCAAGCAATCCCCACGTTCCATGAAAGAATTAAAAAGAAGTCCCAATGATTTTCTTTAGATATTTTTCTGTGAAAAGGAGCCAAGCTGCTATCAATTTAGAGAATTATCCAATAGCAAGTGTAGTAAGTTTTTAATTGAGCGCATGATGCATCAATCTGCTTCACCAGCCTTCAGGCGATTCTTGAGCAGTGGTTAATAGCTTTGAGATGCTACGTTAGCAACTAAATATTATAAGACAAATTCAGTGAGGCTACATTTTCAGAGCAGAGTCTCACAAAGTGGAATTATGACCAGTCATTTTTGCCTCTATTGTGTGATTCATACACATGTCTAGAGAAATTCCTGTCCAGAAAATTAGATTAATCTGTCTTTGTTCTTGTCTTCCAGTTTCTAAACTAGTTAGTATCAATGATTTAAATTTCAGATGGTATTTATTGGAAATCATTCTTTAATTTAATGTTTCCATGCTTTCTCCAGATGCGTATGTAAGAATGGCTACGAGGGTGATGGGATTTCCTGTCAAGTAGAGGATCTTTGCAAAAAGCCTGACCGCGGAGGATGTGCTGAGAATGTGAGCAAGGCTATTGTTTCTCTTGTCTGTCGTCAGAAGACTGTGTAGGATCCTAATTCAACAACTTTTATTCCCGGTTGATTAAATTAACACCTATAAAGTAGAATCAAAGAGCACAGGTTGCAGAGATAAGGAGAGGCAAGGATCAAAGGTTAGCCATTGGAATTTAAGAGTGGAAGAGTTCGCAGAAGTAAGTTGGATTGAGATCTTTGAAGGAGCTGGTATTGAGGATGAGCATTAGGAGAGGAAATTAATTTTAGGCCTGTAGGGATAGAGTTGATGGGTATGTGAACTTAATGCAGGGTATATCTAGTAGAACAGTTTTTGGATGAATTGGAATTAACGTAAGATAGAGTTTTGGAAATTGGTGAGTTGGAAGTTGTGTTAATTAAATAAAGACAGAAGCAGAATTGAGAGTAAGCAGTCATGCGGATGGGCTTCAAAATATTGACTCTTGTAATTTTATACGTACTTTGAAGCTTACCAAATATACCAAATTCTTGACTAGAATGATATATTGCAATATCAACAAATGTTGCTATGATGGAGTGAAAATATTGTTGTCCTATGATGCTGCTTAACTTGTGTTTTTAGCCATATCAATCTGGCATGAACCAAATCAAGGAGAGATTTTCCCATAAATAAACTAAACACAGAAACCAAATTATCCCTAAGCAATCCCTAGTGGCTGGTTCAGAACTTTATTTTCAGAGACCTGGAAAGAATTGATTCAGGAAATCCAGAATAGGCACATGATGATGTAAAAACAGGCATTTACTTTTAATTAGAAGTAACTAAGAATAATGATTCTTAAAAAAAAAGTCAGATACCCAATATGCAAATACTTAATGCATTTGTGGAGATGGTTGTGGTAAGATGCCTGGGCTAGAATCCTAGAGACCCAAGCTAAAGCTTTGGGGACATGAGTTTTCATTCCGTTATGGCAGCTGGTATAATTTTAATTCAATTAATAAATATTTGGAACTAAAATCTAGTCTCAGTAATGGTAACCATGAAATCTTCAATGAATGTTGAAAAGAAAACATTTGCTTCACTGATGTCCTTTAGGGAAGGAAATGTGGTGTCCTTACCCAGTCTGGCTTACAGACCCACAGCGATGTGGTTGACTCATAACTGCTCTCTGAAATGGTCCTAACAGCCCAAGGGCAATGAGGGATTGGCAACAAATGTTGGCCTTACAACAATACACACACTCCGTGAAAGAATAAAGAACAATAATTACCTAAAAGCTCTTGAAGCTGTTTGCGTCCTACGTCAACCATGGTTAAGATAGGTAAATGGTGCATTACTCTCACAGCTTTCAGTCCTATCAGGATTTGCAAAAGATTTGATGTGGGCTACTCTCCAGGCATAAGATTCTTTAATTATTTCACAATGTGAAAATATTTTTTTGCATTACTCATTTGTTCTGAATAATCGGAACATGTGATTCCATTCTCATTCACAGTATTAGAATGCCAAGTTAGGATTTCCTTTTTGTTCTATTCTTTGAACAATATTTAACTTGGCATGAGATGCAATATGAGAATGTCATAGTTAAGTTGGCCTAGTGCATGCACACATTGAACTTTGTTATTGCCATCAGGCCCTGACTATTTGAAACTGTTCTGTTTGCCATTCTATTGCAAAGTGAATAAATGATCCGGATTTAAAACTAACAGTGACAGCTTTCTGCAACAGTACTGAGGCCAATAAACCCATAGAGATTACGAATGACACTTGAAATGTAATTCCTGAGTCAATGTGACGGGGATTTTACATAGCTACCGTAGATAATGGTCTGACATTCTTTACATATTTGTGTTTTTATGGTAGGCAGAGTGTTTCAGTCTGGGTCCTGGGAATATAACCTGCCAATGCAACACTGGATGGACTGGAGATGGGAGAGTCTGTGCTGAAATAAATGAATGCTTATTGAACACCCGAGGAGGTTGTGATGACAATGCTGACTGTCAGTATATTGGACCTGCACAGGTACCATTTATTGGTTTAACTCCTGCTTCCTTTTGTTTTAAGAACAGCATTAGATGAATTGTAAAGTAAAGCAAACAACTGTAGATAGAGTTATACAGTACGGAAACAGGCTCTTCGGTCCAACTTGTCCATGCTGACCAAGTTTGCAAAACTGAACTAGTCCCATTAGTTTGGACCATATTCCTCTAAACCTTTTCTATTCATGTATCTGTCCAAATGTCTTTTAAACGTTATAACTGTACCTGAATCTACCGCTTCCTCTGGCAGTTCATTCCACATATGAACCACCCTCTGTGAAAAGTTGCCCCTCAGGTCCCTTCTAAATCTTTTGCCTCTCGCCTTAAAAATATACCATGTAGTTTTGAACTCTCCTACCCAAGGGAAAAAAATCTTTGCTACCCACCTTGCCTATGCCCCTCATGATTTTATAACCTCTATAACATTACCCCTCCTATGCTACAGTGGAAAAAGTCCCAGCCTATCCAGCATCTCCTCATAATTCAATTCTCCGGTCTAGGTAACATCCTTACAAATCTTTTCTGCACACTCTCCTATTTAATAATGTCACTGTTGCAGCAAGGTGACCAGAACTGTACATATTACTCCAAAAGCGGCCTCACCAACATTCTGTACAACTGCAACATGACGTCCCAACTCCAATACTCACTGCTCAGACCAATGAAGACAGCTTAACATGCACAACTGTGTCAGAGGTTTTACTGAAGTCCATGCAGACAATGTCTGCTGCTCTCCCTTCATCTATCTTCTTGGTCACATCATCAAAAAACTCAATCAAGTTTGTGAGACACAACTTCCCACCCACAAAGCCATGCTGACTATCCCTCATCAGCCCTTGCCTCTCCAAATTCATGTCAATCCTGTCTCTCATAATCCCCTCCAACAACTCGCCCCCCCATTTATGTCAGGCTCGCCGAGCAAGGCTTCTCCTTGCAGCCATTCTTAAATAAAGGCACAACATTAGCCACCCTCCAGTTCACCACCACGTCCCTTATGGCTGTAGATGATACAAATGGGGAGGCAATGGTCTCGTGGTATTGTTGCTGGACTGTCAATCCAGAGACCCAGATAACGTGCTGAGGACCTGGGTTCGAATCCCGCCATGGCAGATGGTGGAATTTGAATTCAATAAATATCTGGAATTAAGAGTCTATTAACGACCATGAATCCATTGTCGATTGTCAGACAAACCCATCTGGTTCACTAAGGTCCTTCAGGGAAAACTGCCACCCTTACCTGGTCTGGCCTACATGTGACTCTAGACCCACAGCAATGTGGTTGACTCTTAACTGTGTTCTAGGCAATTAGGGATGGGCAATAAATGCTGCCTGGTCAGCAATGCCCTCACCCCATGAATGAATTTTAAAAAAATCTCTGCTAGGGGCCTGGCAATTCTTCCCTAGCTTCCCACACATCCTAGGGTATACGTGGTCAGGAGATTTATCCAGCTTTATCTTTTTAAGATGAAATCTGAAACTATCTGTCTTGGCAAGAGAAATCAACAGGCACTGATGAAGAGGAAAGGTTGTGTCCACAGAGGACAGTAACTGTTACAGTTCTGCAGTGCTATGTTATGCACCCCCTGATATTTTTGCTGTTCATTAATGGTCAAGCTATATAATGAAAAGGGGGCTTACAATAAAGATGACTGCAAAAGGAGGTTACAGCACACAATTTGAATAGGCCAGAAAAAAACATGTGACCTATTGACCAGTTGAGGAAGGCAGCTCACCACCAACTACTCAAGGGTAAAGAAAGATGAGCAAGAAATTCTGGCCTCACCAGCAGGAATTAAATCCTGCCAATGAATTATATGAAAATAAATGGCTCTAATCTCTGCTGGAGGTGACCATAATAGATTAGAACAAGGCTGGAACCTAGGAATATGCCAGCCCCAGGCCTAGTGCGGAGGTTTCTGGGATCATCTTGTGACAATAGAGCCTCTGCTTACCCTTGCAAGCCTATTGAGGTGAGGTTCCTCAGTTCCCCTCCAAGCCACTTACCATCTTGACTTGGAAATATATCACCGTGCCTTCACTGTCGCTGGGTCAAAATCCTGGAATTCCATCCCTAATAGCATTGTGGGTCAACCTATAGTAGGAGGACTGCAGCGGTTCAAGAAGGCAGCTCAGCACCACCTTCTCAACGGCAACTAGGGATGGGCAAGAAATGCTGGCCAACTAGCGATGCCCACATCCCATAAATGGATAGGGGGAAGAAAAGGTCTGCAGTCCATGTGGTAGGTACCACCACAGTGACGTTAGGGACGGAGTTCCAGGACTTGGCTTGGAGGGGAACGTGCATGTGGTGGTGTTCCTATGCATCTGCTGCTTTTGTCCTTCTAATTAGCGTTCACATGTTACGAAGTATTGTTGGAGGAGCCAGATGAGTTGTCGCAACGTCATTGCAAGCACAATGTCCTTTCTCAGCTTATTTAATCTATTTGCTGGCTTCCCTTCAATTTGTCTCATCTCACTTTTATCCAATTAAGATTTAACTCCTTCCTAATAGTTCTACCTCTGCCAATTTCTAGTTAATTCCACTAATTCATTATTCTTTGAAATCCCACTTCAGATTTAACAATTCCATATTTATTGAATGCTTGGTGGCTCTTTTCATTACTTTCTAGGATTTTCTCCTCACACGACGCCCTTGTTTTTCCCTTTCCTAATCTTTTCCCTTATTTTTCAATATCTCTAAAATCTTTCCTATTCCAATGTGAGCCCCTGCTGTTGCACTCGCATTGAGTCTCCTGAAATAGTTTCAGATTATGCTCACTGTGCCTGAGGGGCTCACCCAGCTTTAACTCATCATAGGTTCTTACTCGTAATTAGATTTAGCATGGTCCTTCCCCTTATCTCCGTTTGCGTAAACTACTCAAAGGAAGGGTTCTGCGTATATTTGAAAAAATGGGTTGCAGTTAGCTCATTTGGCTGGACAGCTGGTTTGTGATGCCAACAGCTTGGGTTCATTTCCTGCACTGGCTGAGGTTAGCATCTTTCTGTCCTCTGGCCTGAGTCATAGTGACCCTCATGTTAAACTACCACCAGCTGGCTCTCTGGAATGAGAAAGCAGTCCTATGGTCTAGTAAGACTATGGTGACTTTACCTCTCACCTTTTGTTTTAGGAATTCCAGCAGCTAATCTTTGCCAAAACATTTTGTGGGCCATTTGTGATGTAAAATGCTTGAATTATGTAGATAAATTTTCGCCTGAAACACCACAAACTCAACTGTTCCTTTATGCGCTTGTAAACCCTTTAATGTCTTAGTGATGTCAGAAAAGTGCTACATTCCCATAACTATAATGTTATTTCATCCTGTGGAAACAGAGTCGCTGTACGTGTAAGAGAGGATTTGCTGGTGATGGCAAGAAGTGTACCCTCATTAATCCATGCCTGGAAGAGAATGGTGGATGCCATGTAATGGTAAGAAAATTACTAATTTATCATAATCGTCTATGTAATTTCCTGGATCTCTGGTATTAATTTGTATTTGTTAGCCTCTGCTTCAGTATTCAGCATGTGACATATTTATGAAATAATTTTGGTAGAAAAATTTTGATGCATCAAAATGCTTTGATCTCCTCTTGTTGATTACTTCTGACTTTTTCTCCTGGATAAGAGAGGATAGTTTTTCTCACAAAGATCCAACACTGTCATCAAACCTATTTCAAATCAATCAACAGAATTAAAGCAGAACAAGCCTGATAGTATTGGTTTTACATTCCTTGCCCCTGGTCTTTCATATAAGAAACATTCACGTTTGATGGCTTCTCTTCTGATGCTTGAACCAAGAACTGACTGAACACATCTCCCTTTTTGCTGCCCTGAAAGAAAACATAAATGAGGTGAAAACAGAAAAAGCTGGAGAAACTCAACAGGTCTGGTAGTATCTGGAGAAAGAAAGCAGAGTTAACTTTTTGGATCCAGTGACCCTTTTTTTCTTTCTTTCTTCATTAATGAGGGATGAGGGCGCCACTGGCTAGACAGCATTATTGCTCATCCCTAATTGCCCAGAGCGCAGTTGAGATTCAACCACATTGCTGTGGGTCTGGAGGCACATGTAGGCCAGACCAGGTAAGGATGGCAGTTTCCTTCCCTAAAGGACATTAGTGAACCATTCTTCAAATGGAAGTGATGCTAGGCCTAATGACATATTTTCAACCTTCCAACAGAAGTCACGTTTTGTAGTAGCTCTAAATTATACTCATGAAATTTCAGGGGTGGGGAGGATTTGGGGACAAATGGCTCGCCCCACCACCCCATTGCCTGGAAGAAAAGTGGGCAGCAGGCCAATAGGCCAACAGCCTGTTTTGCAACCAGAATGTGCTGTGGGTGGGCTACATTGGTGCAGAATGGGACTTGTGGCCATCACTGGGAAAAAGTTCAACCTTCTGGAGCTGCTGATCAATCTCCTTGGCTGGCAGCTCTGAAATTTCTGACAGTACAAGAGCTTGATAGTGGGCATTGCTGGGACTGCAGGCAAGCTCACGAAACAGGCCCAAAAGATTCTGAAGGACAGTAAGGCTTTGGTTAGGGAGATTTTGGCAAATAACAGAGGGGTTTGATGGAATGGCAGGACAGGTCCTTAAAGTCCATGTGGGTAGAAGGAAGCGAGTATTACCTTCTTGATGGGGGAAGGGAGCCCCTAAGTGCAACCCCCAAAGATAGTACTTCCTACCATCTTAAATACATTTTTGTAAAAATTGGGATTCCCATCACTGCCCACCTGTCCATGCCACCTGCTCTGTGGCACAGGCAGCATATTATTGAGAACACGCAAGGTTTAAATAAGCTCAATTGACTCTTAGTTATTTATTTAAATATCAAAGGCCATCTGCTGATTTCAGCACCCACCCACCCTCTGTATTGTGAGGATAACTCAGGGGTTGGTGGGAAGCTGGTAGGTTAACCACCTGACCTCTAATGCAAGGCCCCCCTGCAGAAAGCACACCCCTTGGAGGCATATAATATCCAACCCCATGAAGATCCTTAAAATAAGATCTGTAAAAGCCTTTTTTATGTTTGTTGTTTGTTCCGTTTTTCCCTTCAAGCTCACACTGATGCAATAATCTGGTCAACCATTGGTAACACTGTACGCTTTGCTAACTGCTTCTCTAGTAAAGAGAAGGGAGAATACAGGCCCTGTGGGGCCTTTTCTGAAATTAAATAGTACCAAAATGTGTAGTGCATCATCTATCATCCAGCCAAGAACTGTGAAAACTACCCAATAACGGTTGATAAATGGATGTGAAAGTAGGGCTTGGAATTTGAAAACCTGTATTTGTGGTTAGGAGTTCCTGCCGAAATTTCATGTGTGTTAAATGAGATCAGTGGCCTGTGTAAACCATTCTGAAAGTTAAATATTTCTATCAATAGGCTGAATGCGAACCTACTGAGAATGGAAATCGCAAGTGTACCTGCTTTAAAGACTATGCTGGAGATGGGATTAAATGCTTTGGGGACATACTAACAGTAGGTAGAATATAAGTGAACAGTGCAATACCTAATTTGAAGAATTAATCCTGTTATTTTGTAAACTCTTAAATATCTCATTCATATTTATTGCACAGTGCTCATTTACTTTGTCATTTGAGGTTTCTCTTTATTTATCTTGAAGGAGCTGGCATCAAGTGCCTACTTTTCAGGATTCAATAGCTGGCTCAAGGTATGTACTCCATATGTTTTTGAACTCAGCTGTAACTTAGAAATAGGAACATATTCACAACTAATTTTTTTAAAAAATCCATACTTTCCTGCAATTGAAATCCGTTGGATTTTTTTTTCCTTCTGCGTACAGTTATTTCTTATTATTTAAGGTTCTATTTTGCATTATTAACGTGATCTTTCACCTTTTGCTTTCTGCTTTCTGCTTTCTGTCATATCGTGAGTTGCCAAATTTCCCTGAAACCCAGCTCTGTCTATCTATGATCGTATTCTCTCACCTATTTCACTGCAATTACCAAAGTTCCCTGAGCCAGCGAAAGGAATTTTCCTCAGATAGTAGCAGCCAGAGCTTCTGATCTCCTGGATTCCATGAAGGTAATATTCATCTTCGGAGGGGAGACAAAATAGGTGATAGTGATCTGGCCACCTGTTGTACAGAGTGCTTTAATTATCTTTCCAGTGAAAACGAAGGTGGTATTACAAAGGGTGGTCAGTCTTCAACTATCCATCTTGCACTTTTCTCTCATTGAATTTTACCTTCAGTCCATGTCTGATATTCAGCACAAGCTGTTTTCTTGTGAACAAAATAGAAGCCACCAGTAATATTAAACAACAAATATGCCTTTATGTTTTTACCAGTAAGTTGTTTCATCATATTATAGATCACAAGAAAGTTTCATCTTGCTATCAGTACCTCTGATGAGAGTCTTAACTTTTGTCTTCTGTACAAGAACCACTAATAACAGCAGGAATTTTATAGACAGGAAATTGTTACATGATTCAGGATGGTGAGGATTTGCAAATGGTTTTCTAATAATTTTTTTCACATATTTGCAATAATATGCTAGCTGCATTTGTAATTGTCACTCTTTGGAATTGGAAAGATCATAGGGTTATGATTTTATAGTTTTCTATATCCCAGCCAAATGTAGCATATTTAAGAAGAAAAAGTGACTTTGCGCCAATAGGTCCCAAAACCCATCTTTGGGTTCATGTCCACTTGGACCATTCTTGTATCATTTCTGAGTCTGTTGTAGACTCATGAAATGAGATTGATTGCCATGAATAGTCAACAACTCCATTACTAATACATAATGCAATTATCAAATTATTAAGGGCAAACTAGATGCAGCTTGTTTTTATCTAGAAGCTCCTGTGATCTGATGTGTTATTTTATAAAAGGATGTATGAGACATACTGTCCACATTCAAAACCTCTTTCGACCACCCCAATCCCACAACATGCATGGATCATAGCTTGTTAAATTGTGTACTTATTTGACATCCTGATATAATTGTGAGGGATATGTACTTGATTAACTGGTTAAACATCACAGTGGTTAGAAAATACCATGCTGAGCCTGTTCCAGTTTCTCAGTCTTGATCAAATGGCTGAAGTTTTGATGGTTTCAGTAAAAGCTTTCACATAATTTTATTTTATAAACAATGCCATGCATTGCTGAGGGAATTAATGAGGGATCTTGTGGTTTTGTTATTTGTAAAATTTTGAGGCATTTTAGATATGTTCATCAGGCGCATTGTCACATTTTCTTTTGCTTGTGTCTTATTTATGACAAACTTTGTTTCTAGTTTGTAACCTTGGTTTGATTGAATATTTACTCCTCTATTTGACTAATAAATGACTAGGTGATTGGCTATAAGGGGGATTATTACATCCAATTAACTAAACAGGTCAAAGGCTTGTGTCTGAACATTGGATTTGCTATCAAAGCAGAAAGTGTGTAAAATTACACTTCAGAAGAAACGGGGCACAATTACTTAAATGATCAAGACAAGAATCTAAGTAAAATGCAAACATTTTGCAGTGTTGCACGGTGATTAAAAAAGTAATAATGTCTTTCGTACATTAGGAGATTACAGGCTTATTTGCCCTTTTTTGTCCCCCTTTGTTTTTGAAACAGAAGTCCTTGCATAGTATGGAATTCCCAGCAGGAGCTAATATGACTGTTCTCGTGCCATCAGAGACTGCCATAAACAATATGGATAAGGCTGCCATTGAATCTTGGGAACAGACAGACAGACTACTGTCCATAGTCAAGTAAGATACCTTTGCAAAAATAGTCTTATTTTCTTTTGTTTAAACATTTTATTGTCTGGTTTCATCAGTGGCCGAGTAAATTCATTCAATGTGTAGCTAATCCATGCCCACATTTATAATGCCCAAAATTGCTGACTAGTTTATTATCAGTTACATCAATATAGATTGGGAGAGTTTTGGTCTGTATGGCTTAGATCCACACAAAACATCTGTTTACAAACTTACTTATTGTAGGGGCTAAATGATCTTTTATTAACAAGCCAGATGGACGTAAACATTTATATGTTTTGTAATCAAATCCTTGTAGGAATTAGTTTATACACATATGAGCGCTGCATTTTCTGCAGGAAACAATGTACAGTATTTATTTCTGCCAGTTTTCAGATTTCAGTGTGACTGATAGTTTTGACAAATTAATGAGAATTTTTTGATTTTCACTATTTTTAGCTATTTGATTAGGAAGAACCCTTTGTTTCCCTTCATGTGTGGAAAAAATACACTGGATCAGGTTTGTTCTTAATTGTGGGACACAAAATATTCTGCTGATGATGCGCTATCATCTTACTTTCTCAAATGGGACTTCGTCCATCAGGTGAATACATTTGAAGCACATCATATAAAGATTGATGGTTGGTACTTTTACGCACCCAACACCAGCTAATTCACAGAGTACCATCACTAATCCTCCATCTGTAAATATCCTGTTTGATGTCATATATTGTATGTGCAGGTGTGAAGGAATTGTAGAAGCAAGTGACATCCAGTATGTTGAAAAACGTTAGAGCAGCCAGAAAGAATGATTGGTACCCTGAGACCCACTACAGTAATACTTGATAATTGTTGACCACAGTGATTAACTTTGTACTTACTGATAAATATAGAAGTTGAATGTATATCTTTCATAATTCTGAAGTGCTAATAATTGGTGCTGCAGCATTATGTTGGATCCAAGTGTTAAACTGGAGTCAATCTAATACGAATCAGATACCAGATCATCGCTTTAATAAAATCTTAAATTCATCAACACCATGGCACATGGAAAGGAACCTTTTCACGGAATCCTCGAATTTATTCACATGAGGTCTGTTAGTTCCATTTGCTAATGTTTAGATCTCCATACAACACGATCTCAGATGGTTGACTGTCATCCATCCAGGCAACATGGCCTGCCCTTTGCAGTTGGCTTTTTTTTAAAATCCACTCATGGGTCAGGGCATCACTGCATGGACCAGCATTTATTGCCTTTCCCCATTTGCCCTTAAGAAAGGGGTGGTGGATTAGTGGAGAGATTTTCCCCTGATTCCCACTGACTGTGTTTTTGCTAGGGGTCATAGGTGCTGCACTTATTCAAATGTGGCCCTGATGTCAAATCAGTCACTCTCTGAAATTCACCTCTTTGGTCCAAGGCTGTAATGAGGTCAGGAGCTGAGTGGCCCTGATGGAACCCAAACTGGGCATCACTGAGCAGGTTATTGCTGAGCTGGTGCTGTTTGATAGCACTGCTGATGATACCTCCCATCACTTTACTGATGATTGAGGGTAGACTGATGGGTGGTAATTGACTGGGCTGGATTTGTCCTGCTTTTTATGTACAGGACATACCTGGGCAATTTTCCACATTGTCAGCTACATGCCAGTGTTGTGACTGAACTGGAACAGCGTGGCTAGGAGTGTGGTAGGTTCTGGAGCACACTTCTTCAGTGTTTGTGATGTGGTCTTGCCAATGGACCTTGAGGATTCTGCAGAGATAAAACTGATATATGCGCTCGAGAAGGTGCTTTAAGTTGTTCACCATTATGACATGGAAATGTATTGCAGTTCCTTCAATATTTCTGAGTCAAAATCTTGGAACCACCTCCATAATGACGTTGTAGGTCTACCTACAGCACATGGACTGCAGCAGTTCAAGAAGGCAACTCACTACCACCTTCAGATGAATTTGTTTGCCAGACAATAGGACAGAATATAAAAAAAAGCAAACAATTCCAAAAAGATTAATTAAGAGTGAAAACTTTGAGTACAAAAGAAAGGGTCACCAGACACGAAACGTTACCTCTGTCTCTTCCTTCACAGATGCTGCCAGACCTGCTGAGCTTTTCCAGCAACTTTGTTTTTGTTCCTGAGTACAAAAGAAAGTTAGTCAAAAGTATGAATTTTCCTCTAAGTTAAGCTCCTATCCATTTCTTTTTTGACAGCCTGCTTTTGGATATTGTATATGGCAGTAGCATGTACTGTGACTTCATGCTGAAAAGCATTTCAAAGTGCTCTGGCTCCCTGTTGGTGTGCCGTCAGTACTCCTCAGGGTTGTTCTGTTTTATATTGGTCAATAAACAGATTCTGGTGCTTCAGAAAAGGTCTGTATTTATGTAATTGTTCAATGGATGTGGGCATCGGTGGCTAGGCTAGCTTTTATTGCAGGTCAGTGTTTCCTGGAAGTTGTGCAGCCATGTAACCCACTCAGCGTTTCTGCGCATGCGATCACTGTTCAGACACAATGACTTCCAGTTCCGGAAGCCGCTGTCCCACAGGGACTTCAGAGGTCTGTGCAGCGGCAGGAATAATGCGAGGGAACATAGTTGCCCATCCTTAATTGCCTTTGAAAATGTGGTGGTGAGCTATCTTCTTGAACTGTTGCAGTCCTTGGGGTGTAGGGATACCCACAGTGGAATAAGGGAGGAGGTTCCAGCATTTTGACCCGGTGACAGTGACAGAATAGTGATGTAGTTCTAAATCAGGATGGTATGTGACTTAGAGGGGAACGTGCAGCTGTGGTGTCCTCGTATATTTGCTGCCCTTGTCCTTCTAGGTGGTAGGGACCATGAGTTTGGAATCTGCTATCCAGGAAGCCTTGGTGAGTTATTGCAGCCCATTTTGCAGATGGTACACATTGGTGCCACTGTGTGTCAGTGGCAAAAAGGGTAAATGTTCAAGTTAGTGTATGGGGTTTCAGTAGACTGGACTGCTTTGTCCTGAATTGTCACATTAAGCTTCTTGAGTGTTGCTGGAACTACACCCATCCAGACAAATTTGGCGTGTACTATCGTTGTTCTAAACTGTGTTTTGTAGATGGTATTTCAGCATTTTAGAGGCAAGCAGTGAGTTACCTAGCACAGATTTCATAACCTCCAACCTACTGTTGTAGCCATGGTATGTATCTGGCCTATACAGTACAATTTCTGGTCAGTGGTTACCCCCAGGATGTTGTTAGTGGGGAATTTAATAATAGCAGTGCAGTTGAAAGTCAAGATGTGATGATTAGATTCTCTTTCATTGGAAATGGTCACTGCCTGATATTATGTGTTCACAATGTTACTTGCTACCATCAGCCCAAATTTCGGTGTTTTCCAGATCTTGTTGTACAGTGATGTGGGCCACTATCTGAAGAGTCACGGATGGTGCTGAATATTATACATTCATCAGTGAAAATTGCTACTTCTGACCTTCTGATGGAGGGATGGTCATTGATGTAATAGTGAAGATAGTTGGGTCGAGGACAGTACCCTAAGGAACTCCTGCAGAGGTGTCTTTGTGACTAGATGATTGATATCCAACAATCACAACTATCTTTCTTTCTGCTAGGTATTACTCCAGCCAGTGAAGAGTTTTTCCCTTGATTCCTGTTGATTCCAGGTTTCTTGATGCCAAGCGTGGTCAAATGGCTACATTGACGTCAAGGGCAATCAATCCTGCCTTAGCTCAGGAGCCAAGTGGCCTTGGCAAAAACCAAACAGTATCATTCAGCAGATTGTTCCTTTCCAAGTACCACTTGACAGCATTAACAACAACCCTTCCATCACTTTACTGATGATGAAAAGTAGACTGATGGGGTGATAATTGGCTAGATTGGATTTATCCTGCCTTTTGTGGGCAGGACACACATTAGATTTATTTATTTGTCACATGTACGAAGTATAGGAATACATAAGTACAGCGAAAAGTGCACAAAATCGCCATTCACTAGCACCCCACTTGGTTACTAAAACCAGAATTAAAAGATTTAACACAGCCAAAAGGTAAGGAAGAGAAAAAGTCCAGATCTCAGAGTCCCAAGTCCCATCTGCACAATGGTGCAGGTGCTGCTCCAATCGCTAGGGCACCCAGGAGGGTGCTGCCGCCACCATGCAAAAGGCCCGTTCTCACTGCTGTCACCGCCTCACCGGCCCACTGTCACTGCCTCACCAGCCTTCTCTCACCGCCTCACCGGCCCACTGTCACTGCCTCACCAGCTTGCTCTCACCGCCTCACCGGCCCACTGTCACTGCCTCACCGGCCCACTCTTGATCCGCCACTGTTGCTCCGGCCCACACTCGATCTGCCATTGCTGCAGGACACGGCCCGGGCATTCAGATCCCGCCACGTGGTTCCCAGTCGCGACTCGACTTCTTTCCAATTCCTTAGGTAGGAGCAGATAGTTAAGGGGTGGGGGAATAAAATTACTGCATGCAGCGAGGAGAGAGAAGAAAAAGAAAAAGAAAGGAAAAGGAACTGGCGAGCAAAGTGGACCTATTTTCCACATTGTTGTACAGATGTCAGTTTGTAACTGTAACAGCTTAAGTCTGTTTGGAGCACACATCATCAGTACTATTGCTGGTATATTATCAGGGCCCATAGCTTTTGCAGAATCCAGTGTCTTCAGCTGTTTCTTGATATCACAGGACTGGATTGAATTAGCTGATAACTGGCGTCTGTGATTCTGGGTATTGAAGGTGGAGGCTGAGATGGATCATTCACCCAGTACTTCTGGCTGAAGATGGATGCAAATACTTCAGTCCTCACTTTTGCCCTATGTGCTGGGTTTCCCCATTCAGAGCGGCGATTCTCGTGGCCCTTCCCACCGATCTCCTTTCAGTTGTCTAATTGTCCAGCTAGTGTTAGTGTACAGTTGAGTTTTGTCAGCGAGTACTGTCATTGTTATTTTGGATATTCCTCAGTTGACAGCAAAGGGTTCTGCCTGCGTGATGGTCAGCTGTATTTTTCTCTGGACTGGCTGATCTCGCTGAGCCGAGTGAGCTGACCTTTCTGTTGCCAGTAGATCTTGCATTTCCTTGTCTTTTTCATCAAACTAGCCCCTATGCTTCTTGGTGCTGACTTTGCTGATCTCATTGGATGTATCTAGTACTGTAGCTTTGTGTTCTCCAGGTTCTGTAATTTAAATTTTTAAAAGCCTATTGTATTTAATATGCACAGTAAGGCTTGCCTTGGAGGGAATATGAACTTGTGTTCACTGGCAATATAACAAATACAGTTAATGTTATAAAACAAACTGCAGTGTGAATTAGTAGCAATAATTCACAGCGGCAAAGTCAGCATATCAGCATCATTCAAAGTCCTGTTTACATTTACAATCAAGACACTGATGTTTTAATTGTGCCCATTCTCATTTCTGTTTTAATGAAGAGAATGAAAAAATATCACAGAAAACAAAGAGAAAAAGATCTGTTCTAAATAAAAACTGGGAGAACTGCTGGAAATCGGAAACAAAAACAGAAATTGCTGGAAAAGCTCTGTAGATCTGGCAGTATCTGTGGAGAGAAATTAGAGTTAATCTTTTGGGCCCAGTCACCCTTCCTCAGAACTCAGAAAGTTCTGTTATAGTAGTTTTCTTTTTTAAAAAAACCTATTATAGTGCTAATTATTTTCAAGTTTGTTACTGATCCTTTGGGATTTCTGAAGCTGTGATTTCCATCAGTTGAAATAAAGCAAGCAGGCAAATTTACAACTAGTATAATTCCAGCACTTGGTATTTTCATAGGTCACATTTTATTATGGGTGGGCTTGCTGTTGATGATTTAAAGGAATATGAAGGACAGAACTTACCAACAATGAACATATTAACCAGGTTATTAATCAAGAATGAAAATGGGGTAAGTAATTTATCTTTACTTTTCATGTTCAATATATGGGTTAGTTGAAAATTTCTTCCTTGAAAGACTATAATATATCTTCCAGTCCCCTGCCAATACCCCCGACACTCCTAGACATGCCTTCCTCATTTTAAGCATAGAACAATTTTCAGAAACAGATTTTTTTAAATAAAAAGATTACTCTATCAACAAGGAGTAAATTTGAAACATGTGATTTACGTGGACTAAAACTTGATTTATTATTTTAAGGAGAGTAGAGTGCTGTTCTGTGGTTGAACATACAGCAAAGTTTAGTTTCACCTTTCTCACTATATACACTCAGCCCAGCCTAACTTCGTTGCCAAGAAACTGTGTTTATCAGGAATGTTTCCCACACTACTTCCTAAATGTTAATGTGTGTCAACATCCATCTCATACTATGTTTCCTCCTAACAAGCTTACATGGATTCCTGAAGATAAAATTACAGTTAGAAAGAATTTATTTGGTGCAATTCAGCATATACCAAAAAGTAAACAATTCCATATATTCTTGTTTTGATATATTTTAGAGGATAAAGAAAAGAAGTTGTCATTTACTGAGGAGACTGATTAATTTGGGTTGTGTGAATGTGTAATTGGATCAAAATGCAGCTCACTTAATGAGAACATTCCAGAAGTAAACATTGCTATGCCAATGTGGCAATAAAATGTCTTTAGATCGTTGTCTTGTACTTGCTCATCAACAATTTGCATCACTGGTGATATCTGATGTATTGAATATGTTTGAATACAAATTGTCTAAAAAGAAAGCAATCTCACAGTTAGCAAGATTCCATCCTGTGAATGTGGCTAATAGTTTAACTGCCCAGATGATTGCTATTTCACTCATGTAAAAGTCTAGTCAATGAGCTCTTTGAGATTTTTTTATCTTGTGCCAAAAGTCCTCATAAGTCATTCTGTCGCTGTGCTACACAGTTGGAGGTCTTTCTTCTCATTGAAAAAAACAACCATAGCTCACCACCACTATTTGTTAACAGTTCGTTGGACTACAGTGGTGTAAATTAATTCCCTCTTTTGTGGTTCACAAAACAAACTGTCTGAAAGTTCCTGGTCCTCCAAACATTACGCAAAGAGCTATATTTGACTGTAAATTGTGGGATATTTGAATGGAGTCGGGGGGGTGGGGAATGTAAGCCACTAGATAATGGGGACTTCATCTATTCCCAAACAGTAATGTATAGAGATGTGACAAAGTTGCCTTGGGTCTTTCCTTGACTGATTTATATAGATAGCCTTTAAAGTCCTTAAAAAAAACTTTGGTCTGGGGGAATCTAGAGGATTTTCTTAGGAAATCCAGCTTCACAAAGTGGACGAGCAGACCATACCACCCCTCACCTCCCTCTTTAGTCCACCAAACTCCTCAACTCAAGAACTTTGAGCTTTTTGCTGCAGGCCAGATTTGAATAAAAGCAAATTCTGCCCCATTTTCAGGCTTCCCAGCTGGACTCCCATTCAGCTTCTACTTTGGTTGCAATGAGAAATTAGAGGCTGAGTTGTTTTATGTTGTGACCTTGACATAAGTACCAGGGAGTACCCACTGGAAGGACAGCCTTAATTTTGCTAGTGTTGAGGAAGGCAGCTTAGTTTTATTATTTAAGGTAGTTAGCTTACCATTGGTCATTCAGGGTACATAAAGGGAGATGAAGTGTTAGGCACATTATTGTCGAGTTAATACCACTACCAATTTCTGGAAGAGACCGAACGACCCCTTCTGATTGATCCCAGTCATAGTATTTTCATAGATAGCAATCCATTCCTTTAGTGCTATCCTATTCTGCCTTGTCATAAATGAATTCACACAACACAGTTCAAACACAACTAATTCATTTTATCCTCCTCAAAATAGAGTCATAGAGATATTCAGCGTGGAAACAGACCCTTTAGTCCAACTCGTCCATGTGGACCAGATATCCTGTATGATTCCATTACCATTTGCCAGGATTTGGCTCATATCCCTCTAAACCCTTCCTATTCATATACCCATCCAGATGCCTTTTAAATGTTGTAATTGTACCAGCCTCCACCACTTCCTCTGGCAGCTCGTTCCATACACACTCCACCCTCTGTGTGAACAAGTTGCCCCTTAGATCCCTTTTATATTTTTCCCCTCTCACCTTGAACCTATGCCATCAATTTTGGACTGCCCTGCCCCAGGGAAAAAACCTTGCCTATTTACCCTAATGATTTTATAAACCTCTATACGGATGACATGATGTAAATTTGTCCACGGTCTAATAACTTGAATTTTAGAAATTGCCCCTGTGAAGAAATGTCTGTCTAAGCTCCAAGTGTGTGGGTATTCTTTGCTACACCATCTAGATCAATACTTTGAAAAATATATTTTCAGATAGAATTGTTCTGCTCCTGATCTTATTCCTTCCAGAATTCATCTTTCCCAAACACCAAAACTTCTTAGCAGTTCTCCATTGTAGTTCCCCTTTGAAGCTGAACAACCCTTCTGGAACCATTGATCCACCAGATATCCAGTACCTGCATCTAGTTTTTTTGCTCTCTGCATTTGGCCTGTGTGTACTGTAAATTTGAGTATTAGAAGCTTCTCACTTCAAATCATGCCAAATTTAACTGTGCTAGCAAAATGCAGCTCTCTGCTCACAGCAGTTTACTCAATTTGGCCGCAGGTTGGGGCAAAATAACTTGGTTATTGAAGCAACCCAATTAACTTGCAGAGATAGTAGGAACTGCCGATGCTGGAGAATCTGAGATAACAAGGTGTAGAGCTGGATGAACACAGCAGACCGAGCAGGAAAGCTGACGTTTTGGATCTGGACCCTTCTTCAGAAATGGGGGAGGGGAAGGGGATTCTGAAATAAATAGAGAGAGGGGGAGAGGCGGATAGGCGGATAGAAGATAGATAAAGGAGCAGATAGGTGGAGAGGAGACGGACAGGTCAAGGAGGCGGGGATGGAGCCAGTAAAGGTGAGTGTAGGTGGGGAGTTAGGGTGGGGGTCGGTCAGTCCAGGGAAGATGGACAGGTCAAGGAGGCGGGGATGAGGCTGGTAGGTAGGAGGTGAGGGTAGGTGTTGAGGTGGGAGGAGTGGATAGGTGGGAGAAAGGACGGACAGGTTAGGGAGGTGGGGACGAGCTGGACTAGTTTTGGGATGCGGTTGGGCGTGGGGAGGTTTTGAAGCTTGTGAAGTCCACATTGATACTGACAAACGACTGCACCTCTCAGTCGCGAACCACTTCAACTCCCCCTCCCACTCCTTGGACGACATGTCCATCCTGGGCCTCCTGCAGTGCCACAACGATGCCACCCGAAGGTTGCGGGAACAGCATCTCATATTTTGCTTGGGAACCCTGCAGCCCAATGGTATCAATGTGGACTTCACAAGCTTCAAAATCTCCCCGTCTCCCTAACCTGTCCGTCCTTTCTCCCACCTATCCACTCCTCCCACCTCAACCCCCACCCTCACCTCCTACCTACCAGCCTCATCCCCGCCTCCTTGACCTGTCCGTCTTCCCTGGACTGACCGACCCCCACCCTAACTCCCCACCTACACTCACCTTTACTGGCTCCAACCCCGCCTCTTTGACCTGTCTGTCTCCTCTTCATCTATCTTCTCCTCTATCCATCTTCTGTCCGCCTCCACCTCTCTCCCTATTTATTTCAGAATCCCCTTCCCCTCCCCCATTTCTGAAGAAGGGTCCAGACCCAAAACGTCAGCTTTCCTGCTCCTCTGATGCTGCTTGGCCTGCTGTGTTCATCCAGCTCTACACCTTGTTATCCCAATTAACTTGCAGTCCTTTTAATATAAATTTCAAACTAAAATTATTCCACAATATAAATTATTTCATGATTTCAATTTTATTACACAATGGAGTAGAATTATGTAAACTTCTGATCAGATTTGCCATATTTGACTTGTAAAAATAACTGAAGTTAATGTTAACTTGTATTTTTAAGAATCTGACGATCGGTGGGGCAAGAATTGTCATTCGCAATATCCCCGCAGTAAATGGATACATTCATATCATTGATAAGGTACATTTGTTGTCTTTTCAAGTAGAGATTTTAGTAATTTGCATGATTTAAAACATAATCTGTGTGCTAATTTCATAAAGAGAAAACTAGCTCTCTCTTAAATCATCTATCTAGGCTAGTTTGGAAGTGCTTTAGCAGAAAGTTATACAATGATTTTCAATGAGGAAAGGCTATCTTCAGGGTTTTGTGATGTTTTAAATAAAAAATTCTATGAACACATTTCAAACAGAGATGATTCCAGATTGGAAAGGATCTATCAAATATTGCATTTTAATGCATGGAGATACTTAACCACCAACACCTGCCTCCAATCCCATGCTCCCATTTTCAAAACATTTCTGCAGGCAAACATTGAATTTTGCCTTTCATACTATATTTGAACCTGTCATAAAAATTGCATGACAAATTAAAACCAGTTTAATGGAGCTGTGTTACATGATGCTGGGCTAGTGCTTTGCTGGACTTGACACATGTTGTTGTTTAGAAATCACCACAGTCAATAAAAAATATGCTTGCTATCTCTAGTGTACTATGTTAGCTGAATGTAACTGCAGCTTTCTCTTAGTTTCATTCTGATTCAAATTTAAAGTGTATTTTATGGCCCAGATTTTCCAATTGCAAGATAAGCGTATCTGAAGGCCAGATGGGATTTGCACATGGGGACCCTACAGAATTCCCAATGGAGCAAACTCCAAAAGGGTTGCTTGAGAAATTGAAGATTCCTCAGGACAATTCCCCTATGCCTGGAACCCTCCAAATGTTTCCATTTAAATCAGAGAATCTGGACGGTTCCATCGAAATTAGGTAAATAGTCACTCAGAAAAATGATACTATTAAATACCTGGTCTGACTCCTGATATCAATTCAACTGATCTGCCCCAAATTACCACAAACACGTACAATTACACTTCACCCAGAGCTTCAACATCCACCAAACCTGATACACCCTCTCCCCCACAAGAGTCGATACCCGCTCCTTCCTCTAAGACCCTTTCCTCCCTGACCTGCCATCGCATCCATTCTCTCCTCGCTCTGGACGCGATACCTGCCTCCATACCCACAGAACCCATACACCCCTCTCCCAGTTCTGGACCCAAAATGTCCTAGCCCTGGCCCCTGGAACTGGACATCCTCTTCCTGCTGTTATTTCCAACCCCACCACATTGGGACCAAGGCAGTAATAAGGTCCAGACCCAATTCTCCTGACTTGCCGTAGGATCTGATTTGCTCGCTTCAGGTCAGGATAACCCTCCTCTTTTGCCTCCAAAATCCAATCTCCTTGCATCACCACCATTCCAACTCTCCCTTCCCCTGCTCCAAATCCAACTACCAACACCACCCCCCGCCCCCCCCACTCTCTGTCCACCAGACTCAACTTACCAGCTCTTCACCATTGGAATTTGAAACTGCAGCCCCCTCCCTCTGGACCCAGCGCCTATTCTCTACGACTGGACCCACCATCCCTCTTCCTGTAGAACTCTGCACTCCCGCATTTTGGACACATCACCACCCCTGCACTCCCAATTACACAATAACTATAGTGTCCTTTGGTGGAGTCGCTATCTCTCAGACCACCCAACCCCCAGCTTAACCTAAACATTCCACCACTTCCTGGCACCCACCTCTCCTGGAACCCAACCAACCTGGCAGCCTACCCCCTACATACCTGGAAGCCCACTTATCTGGCACCCTAACACCATCTCCCTATCCGCCTGGCACTCTACTCGCCAGCACCTTAACCTCTCATTTACAGCAGCTGCCAAATTGGCTGTCTGACGCTGGACCTCAAGTTCAGAATTTGCAACTGACCATTATGAAAAAGGGGTAGCATTTTGCCCTGTCCCAACTCTTCCACATTGAGGGATCTATCAGAATAGCAGTAATTTCTGAAGGAGCCCTTAAGCAAACTCTTGTCAGAAATACAGAGCTGTTTCATTCCAAACTGTGAGTGGCATGGCAATGTGCACAAGCTCTGGCCCTGATATATTGCCATGACAGCGGTAAAATATGGACTATCAAGTTTCAACTTCCATTATCTGATGTTAATATCCGAAATCTTCATTGACTGAATTAATTTTTAAAAAGGAAGGAATATGGACCTGAAGAGTTTGCAGCAATCATCTGACAACAGATTGAGGCAAGTTCAGGAATAAACAAAATTATTTGAACGTACTAAAATTACCATTTTATCTAAAGACATTAGAAACAACCAACTGATTTATGTGTCGAGAAATTTGCATCTCCTGTTTTAGTTTAATGTGTATAAAAAGTTGCACATGCAAGTGCTGTCTGCAACTGTCCAGCTTGGAAAGACAATGGAGCCAGACTTGGGAATATACAAATAACCCATACTTCAGTAATGTCTTGTGGGACAGCAGAGCAGGATAAAGTAAAATGGATTGGTAACAGTAATTACTGGAAAACACTCTCCCTGATTCTTTCAAATCATTTTTAAAAAATCATTCGTGGGAGGTGGGCATCGCTGGCTGGCCAGCATTTATTGCCCAGCTTTAATTGCCCTTGAGAAAGTAGTGGTGAGCTGCCTCACCCAATGTTAAAGAAAATTGGAAAAACATCCATTTATTGAGAAGTCGGGTGTTCTGCAACTTTTGATACTGCTGAGGATACAAGACTTTAACTATAACAGCTTTTAAACAGTATATTCTCTACCTTCTGAGACACTTTTTAAAACTGTATACCTGTGTTTGTGTGTGTGAAATGTCATATTTTATTATTTTCTTTTGAAATGTTGAGAGACATAGATAGAGTGGATAGTCAGAGACTTTTTCCCAGGGTGGAAATGATTATTATGAGGCGGCATAATTTTAAGGTAATTGGAGGAAGGTATAGGGGAGGTGTCAGAGGTGGGTTCTTCACACAGAGTGGTGGGCATGTGGAATGCGCTGCCAGCAGTGGTAGTGGAGTCAGATACTTTAGAGACATTTAAGCGACTCTTGGATGGGCACATGGAGGATAGTAAAATGTAGGGTATGCAGGGTAGATTGATCTTAGTAGGATAATAGGTCGGCACAACATTGTGGGCCGAAGGGCCTGTACTGTGCTGTACTGTTCTATGTTCTATGTTCTGTGTTATGATCCTAGCTATTGGATAAGTCAGATTCTAGAATAAAACCTGATAGATCATATGTGTAATTTATTTAATTAATTAACATGGTAATTAATCACTGAAGCATATCACATGAGGCTACAGATGTTCTTTAACAACAGAACCTAAGTTTATTACAACTTCTGCTGTGGTAAGTGGTTCCCTGAACAGCCCTGAACTCCTGCTAGGAGAGAAACTAAGACTTGCTCCTGAACTCAACTCTGGTGTTTTCTGAAATGAACTGAGATCAAAAATGATCGTAAATGTGTTTATCACAAAGTCAAAAGTAAAATATCTTTTCATTCACACCACCGAGGTCAACAGCCACATTGGTTTCTGAGCAAGGTTAGATCGCGGCACTATTCTGTAATGGCTTGCTGACCTATTAAAATAAATCTTCACAGCAATAAAACAAACCAATCAACATTTATTTTTAAAACCAATCAAATTCCGTAAATGATAATATGTATAACACACCTATCATCATGTAAACAATAGTATTCCTCTTTCTTTAACTCCAGAAAACCAGGTAATTGGCTCCTTCATTCTAGTCTAGTGACTGTGTTCTGATGGGAGTGTGATATAGCTGCAGGCTAAAAAGAATCAAACATCTTTCTTGTGGACAACCAAGGAGGTTAAAAAAAGGGGAACCAATTCGCTTCTCACCTTGGATGTGGGTGTAGCTGGTTGGGCCAGCATTTATTGCCTGTCCCTCGTTGCCCTTGAGAAGGTGGTGGTGAGCTGCCTTCTTGAACTGCTACAGCCCATGTGCTGTAGATTGGCCCACAATGCCCTTAGGGAGGGAATTCCAACATCTTGACCTAGTGACAGTGAAGGAATGGTGATATATTTCCAAGTCAGGATGGTGAGTGACTTGAATGAGAAATTGCAGATATTGTCCAAACCATGTTGCATTTGAACATGGACTACTTCAATATCTGACCAGTTGTGAATAGTGCTGAAAATCACTTAATCATCAGTGAACATCCCACTTTTGACCTTCTGATGGAGGGAAGGTCATCAATGAAGCAGCTGAAGATGGTTGGGCCTAGGACACTACCCTGAGGAACACTTGCAGAGATGTCTTACAGCTGAGATGCCTGATCTTCAATAGCAACAACCATCTTCCTACGTGCCAGGTATGCCTCCAACTAGCGGAGAGTTTGTCCCCGATACAGGCTCCTTAATGCTGGTTGAAGGTGGCCCTGATTTCAAGAGCTGTTATTCTTACCTCATCTCTGGAATTCAGGTCTTTTGTCCATGTTTGAACTGAAGCTGAAATGAGATCAGGAGCTGAGTAGCCCTGGCGGAACTCAAACTGGGCATCGCTGAGCAGATTATTGCTGAGCAGGTACTGCTTGATAGCACTATTGATGACACCTTCTATCCTTTCACTGATCGAGAGTAAACTGATGGACCAATAATTTGCCAAGTTGAATTTGTCCTGCTTTGTATGTACAGGACATACCTGGGCAAATTTCCACATTGTCGGATAGACACCAGTGTTGTAACTACTGAAAGAACTTGGCTAGGGGAGCGGCAAGTTCTGGAGCACAGGTCTTCAGTGCCGTTGCTGGAATGTTGTCACAGCCCTTAGTTTTTGCAGTGTCCAGTACCTCCAACTATTTCTTGACATCACATGGAGTGAATCGAATTAGCTGAAGACTGGTATCTATAATGCTGGGGACCACTGGAGGAGGCCAAGATGAATCATTCATATGGAATTCCTAGTCTAAGATTCTGGCTAATGCTTCAGCCTTATCTTTGCACTGATGTCCTGGGCTCTTCTATCAATAAGGATGGGGATATTTGTGGAGCCTCTTCCTCCAGTGAGTTGTTCAATTGTCCACCACCATTCACAACTGGATGTGCAGGATTGTAGACCTTAAATCTGATTTGTTGGTTATGGGATCACTTAGCTTTGTCTATCACTGCTTAAGCTGTTTGACATGCAAGTAGTCCTGTTTGTAGCTTCACCAGGTTGACACCTCGTTTTCAGTTATGCCTGGTTCTGCATATGGCATGTCCTACTGCGCTCTCCATTGAACCAGGGTTAGTCCCCTGGAGTGATGGTAATGGTTAAGTGGTAGATATGCCGGGCCATGTGGTTACAGATTGTGCTGGAGTACAATTCTGTTGCTGGTGGTGGCCCACAGCACCACATGGATTCCCAGTCTTGAGTTGCTAAATCTGTTTGAAATTTGTCCCATTTAGCATGGTGATAGTGTCACACAATGTGAAGGCAGCACCTTAGCTCCACAAGTATTGTGTGATGGTCACTCTTACTGATACTGTCATGGACACATTTATCTGCAGTCGGCAGATTGGTAAGGATGAGGTCAAGTATGTTTTTCCCTCTTGTTGGTTACCTTACCACCTGCCACAGACCCAGTGTAGCAGCTATGACTTTTAGGACCTGACCAGCTTGATCTGTAGCACTGCTGCTGAGTCACTCTTGGTCGTGGGCATTGAAATCCCCCACCCAGAGTACATATTGCATCCTTGCTACCCTCAGTGTTGTTCAACATGGAGGAGTACAGATTCATCAGTGGAGGGAGGACAGTACGTGGTAACCAGCAGGAGGTTTCCTTGCTTGTGTTTAAGCTATGAGACTTCGTGGGGTCCAGAGTCAATGTTGAGGATGCCCAGGGAACACCCTCCTGATTGTATACACTGTGCCACCGCTTTTGCTGAGTCTGTTCTGCTGGTAGGACAAACGGATCCAGGGATGGTGATAGTGGTGTCTAGGACATTGTCTGTAAGGTACACTGTGAGTATGACAATAGCAGGCTGTTGCATGACTAAGCTGTGAGACAGTTCTCCCAAATTTGGCACTAGCCCCCAGCCGTTAGTAAGGAGGACTTTGCAGGGTCAACAGAGCTGTTTCTGCCGTTGTTTTTTCCAGTGCCTAGGTCAATGTCAGGTGATCCGTCTGGTTTCATTTCTTTGCTGAGACTTTGTAGCGATTGATACAATTGAGTGGCTTGCTAGGCCATTTCAGAGGACAGTTGCTGTGGGTCTGGAGTCACATGTAGGCCAAACCAGATAAGGATAGCAGCAGATTCCCTGAAGGACTTTAGTGAGGCAGATCAGTTTTTCCCAACAATTGTTTCTTAGATTCTTAATTCCAGGTTTTTTCTTTATTAAAATGGTGGAATTTGAATTTGACTAGCCAAGTCTAAAGGAGAGATCAGGAGAGATAATGGCAGAGGAAACAATTGCCAGAATAAAATCCAAAAGAATTGTGGATGCTGTAAATCAGGAATGATAACAGAAGTTGCTGGAATCTCAGCAGGTCTGGCAGTATCTGTGAAAAAAAATCAGAGTTACTGTTTCGGGTTCCAGTGACCCTTCCTCAGAATTCAGTTCCAGCAATTTATGTTTTTGAAACAATTGCCATGTTTGGCAGTGGTAGTGGGGTAGATGGGGGATGTGATCACAGGAGGCATTTTCCAATCTTAGGGGAGACAGATGGTAAGTAAAGAGCATGTGAAAGGTGTAAGGAGAGACTGGAGGTGCAGAAGTGGTCCACTGATAGACCGTTACAGTACCTATGAAACGTTTAGTTTCTTGGGCCTGGAAATAACAGTACAGTTTCCTCTAACTCTCAAATGTAATTTTTTAGTGTTTACCTCGTTGATTCTGTCTTCTTGCTTCCATTCACTTTTCAGATTTCCTAAATTCTTTGGCATGAGTTTAAAAAGGACTGTTAAAATGAAAGCATGTGTTATATTGTTTAAACATCCAACCTACAAGTAGATTGGTTACCTTTCATCTATTCTGCCTCCACTATAACGAGATGTGGGCCCATTTGAAATGGTTTTGTTCCTGTGTCATGTTTCCTAGAACATTAACCTCAGACCTGACCCCAACACACCCATTATTAAGAGTTAGGATTTAGCTCCACATAGTACATGCAATGTTAATTGTCATTATTTGCAGTGTATGTTTACATGGTGTAATGTGTTTTCCACTATTATGTTATAAAGCTTTTACACCTCTTAGTTGTTTTGTTCAGAGTTGCTTTGTCTAATCTATTACATTGTGTTGTATTTAGATTTTGTTCCCTTCTTCAGAAGATTTACCACCACTTCTGCCTAGCTTGCTTGATCTTCTAGAACGACTGCCTCAGTACTCTCATTTCAAACAATTATTGCAGGTACAAATAACAGCATTTAATTATTGCTTTATACAGGCAAAGCATCTTTATCTGAATTGGAACTAATATTGATTTCTAACAATTCATACACCTTATAACATCTTTTAGAAAAACTATCAACAGTTTATCTTATCACTTCCATGATAACCTTGAGAGTTGTTGATTACTTGAGAAAGGATGTACTGGCACTGGAGGGGGTGCAAAGGAGGTTCACTAGGTTGATTCCGGAGTTGAGGGGGTTGGCTTATGAGGAGAGACTGTGTAGATTGGGATTATATTCATTGGAATTCAGAAGATTGAGGGGGGATCTTATAGAACCATATAAAATTATGAAGGAAATAGATAAGGTAGAAGTAGAGAGGATGTTTCCACTAGCAGGTGAAGCTAGGACAAGAGGGCATAACCTCAAGATTAGAGGGAGCAGATTTAGGACTGAACTGAGAAGGAATTTCTTCACCCAGAGAGTTGTTAATCTCTGGAATTCCTTGCCCAGTGAAGTAGTTAACGCTACTTCAGTAAACACTTTTAAAAAAAAAGGTAGATTTTTTTTGAACAATAAAGGAATTAAGGGATACGGTGAGAACGCGGTTAAGTGGATCTGAGTCCACGAAAGGATCAGCCATGATCTTATTGAATGGCAGAGCAGGCTCGAAGGGCCAGACGGCCTACTCCTGCTCCTAGTTCTTGTGTTCTACTTGCCCTACAAACCCATTCCTTAGTAATTATCAGCGCTGCCTATGGGGAGGTGAAAATGTTCACTCTCCCCAATTCGCTTCTGTTTTGAAGGTGCACGTCCATGTTAATGTGCAATTCCACAGATGCTGCAGTTTTCTCACTATGTCCTCATTCAATGGTCTTCAAGAAAATACTGAAATATGAATTCAAATAAAAGACAAAATTACAGATGGGAAAAGCAGGTAAGTGCGACAATGCAAAGTTTAATGCAGACAGAAGAGATATGTGATTCCTCACTGACCCTAATATTTCTATTGATGGAATCTTCCATACTTAGTAAATTGTTAGATTTCAGCACCATTTCCAGAACTTGACTCCAATGCTGTCTACACTCAGTGTGCAGAGTGCCTAATGTCCTGGGGTGCCTGATTAATCAATTAATTCAAAGAGCCCTAGCCAATTAGGGAAGAGCCAGACTGCGAAAGTGGGCAAGCCAGTCAGCGCACCCATATCTATAGACAGAGGGCAGTCTTTAATGGGAGAGGTGGGTGCTGCTGACATAGGTGGGAAACTGTCAGAATATTACTGTGGAGGGGAAGCAATTCCACAAGATGGCTCATGTAGCTGCTGTGCATGTCTGATTCCCATAGAAGGAATTATTAGATCACTTAAATCTGACGACTGTTAGGAAGTTCTAAAAGAGTTGTTAGACACTGATCATATGGCTGATTAATGTTAACCTGGGAGATATTGTCAATTTGAATCTCCCAAAATCTTGCAATTAACTGCAATACAATAGGCTGTAACATATGATTATGTCTTGTGCTATTGATGAATAGGTTTTAATCAGAATAACAAAATTGATTATGTAGCTCGAGGATATTTATTCCTAATAATGGCTCTGACAGTGGTCTATTCACTCTGACTTTCAAAATTATCCAGGTCTGAAAGTGTTATATCAAATGCAAAGGATTTGCACTGCTCGATTCCAATTAAAGTTAATGTAAATGCATTTCTTTATGCCTGGGAATAGAGAAAACAGTATTATGCCCAGATGGCAAGTTGAAAGCCTATTTTTGGGTCATATTGGGATCAATGGTAGGACTATTGCTTGTCATTATCTATTTGACAAAAGGCACTGGTGCACATTTACTGATGAGACAAGGTGTATAAAAAAGAAGTCAGACTTTGGGGGAGATTGAGAGCATGAGTACATGTGTAAGGTCTCCTTCATTTTGCGCAAAGTCTTCAATAATGCTCTATCTATATATCAATAAACATGGCATGCTGCATTTAGCTTGAGGCTAATTTCAGCTACCATGCACAGTTATGATCTGTCTTTGTCATTTTTATAAGTGCCCTTCTTTGTGAGAGGATGCTATGAACACTACACATGGTACCCAACAGTGACCACCAAGTTTGGAAAACTTCAGCTTAACTTTTCAGCCTCTGTGACTACATTTTCGGGTCTTTGATGAATGCTATGGGTGATATGACCACATCAGTCGTGTTCCTGGCCCACTAAAGACATTTAATTCTTAGGGTTCCTGTCTGATTATTGTTCTTTTGTGAACTATTTTCACTACAATTTTATGACGGTGTCACTAAAGAGTATAAACACTAAGTGTTAGTAGACAACTCAGACATATCACACTTCAGCTCAGACAACTCCCATGTTTAATAAAAACCGAGAGAACTGCAGATGCTGTAAATCAGGAACAAAAACAGAAGTTCTGAGGAAGGGTCACTGGACCTGAAACGTTAACTCTGATTTTTTCTCACAGATGCTGCCAGACCTGCTGAGCTTTTCCAGCAACTTCTGTTTTTGTTCCATTCCTATGTTTGTTCATCACCAATGCGAGTCACTGATTCTTTGCCTGAGGTTCCTTGGCAATGCTTCAGCTACCCAGATCAGCTAGTGAGCAGATTAAGAAACAAACTTAAGTGCAGGTTCCAAATGCAAAATTATAACTGTTAAGGACCTAATTCCAAAGGAAAGGCCAGCAGCAGAGAAACTTTCTTTGAGCAAAAGTATAAAAGTCATAGTTAACCCTTTGAATGGAACAACAGGTCATAATTCTTGATTTTGTTCTGCTTTTCCTTTAGCACTACCATCTAATTGATGAGATAGAGTCATCCGAACAGTACACTATACTAATGCCAGAAGACGCATCAATTGAAGAGTACTACAGAGTTCAGGATAGTGAACAACTGGTATGATTCCTGCTTTAACTATATCTAAATGTGGTGAATATTGCCCCATGAATTTTGACTCATCGGCTGAACATTTGGGCCTGTTGGCAGTCTGATAGTCGCAGAATGAAGCCTGGTCCATTTTGAGGCCAGGCCTTCCAGTCCAAGTTCTGTAGGCCAGAGATTGAGTATGCAGGGCCATCCTGCTAACTCCAGGCCAATGTGTTATTGTGCTTCATGTTGGCCTCTGGGATGCAAAGAAGTAAGCGAGAAGAGGCTGTAATAAGAACAACAAAAAAGCTGTAAAAATCATGAATAGCAGGAGGTCCTATCCATGATTCCAGGGGCTGTCTAATCGTAGAGGATATGGATCCAATTCTGAAGTGGTGGAGATAGTTTGGGTCAATTCCACCATGCTAATGCCTATCCGCCTCCTGGGTAATATTCCTTTTAAATATTCTTGCATGGCTGTACATACCTAGTAATCTAAAGGGACGTCATGGGAATGTCTAATTTGAGTAACTGTGCAGCTTTGAATGAACATATACTTGGGAGGGCATTGGTTCCCTGTTTCTGTACCAGCTGAGTAAAATGCTGAACACTTCCATTATTTGCCCATTTTATCTTGCATTCACACCCAATCTCAGCACTTTATCCATCTTAAAGCTCCCCAAAAATGGCAATGACACTCTACTCTGAACGATTAGAACTGAGAAGCTCTGCACATGTGTGCACAACCCCAATTATCAGCAGGGTCACTTTTAAACTTATAGACACCAGGTTGGAATGTCTTCTTTTTTTAAAGTATGGAAGTATTGCCTTGGGGCAAAAATATTAAAGACCAATAGATAAATTTTATGGCCAGGTACTTTTCCAGTGGTGGACCTAGAATTAATGCTAGTATTTATGGTAGATTTTAAAGTTGTGATCTTTTTAATCTAAAATATGATGGATGAGAAATAGCTGCTTGTAAACGGACACTTCATGCATTAAGTCATATTTCTCTCAATGATTCTAAGCAAAGTTGAAGTATTTATTTTAAATGGATTAATGCTTCCAGTAAACTATTAGACAGATGAATGTCATACAAATACAATCCATTCACCTAATAATATCAGAAAAAATTATTAGAATACTTAACGTAAGTCAGTTTTTGAGAAACAACTTGTATTATGCCAAGTAAATAATTTGACCTTAGCCTTCTGCTAGGATTATTTTTTAAATGTAGTTTCAGGTAATTGTGAAGACTATTCTGTTTCCAATCAATTGCAAGAATGATGGTTGATAACATGGTAGATAAACATTTTAAAGGGCAGGATCTTCCTGTTGCAGCAGGAATCGGGACGAAAGTTTGATTCTGGATTGTAAATTTTGTTTTACATTGGATTGGTTTCTTAAGGATCTTAGATATGGGTGGTACAGTGTCTCAGTGGTTAGCACTGCAGCCTCACCGTGCCAGGGACCAGGGTTGATTCCACCCTTAGGTGACTGTGCAGCCTTCACACAGACATTCTCCCTGTATCTGCATGGGTTTCCTTCGGGTTCTTTTTATTCATTTATTTTTCTGTATTCATTCACGGGATAAGCGCGTTGCTGGCTAGGCAGCATTTATTGCCCACGCCTAATTGCCCAGAGGGCAGTTAAGAGTCAACCACATTGCTGTGGGTCTGGAGTCCCATGTAGGTCAGATCATGTAAGGATGGCAGTTTCCTTCCTGAAAGGACATTAGTGAACCAGATGGGTTTTGCTGACAATCAACAATGGATTCATGGTAATCGATAGATTCTTAATTTCAGATATTTTATTGAATTCAAATTCCACCATCTGCCATGGTGGGATTCAAACGCGGGTCCCTAGAACATTATCTGGGTCTCTGGATTAACAGTCCAGCAATAATACCACTAGGCCATCGCCTCCCCATCGGGTGCTCCGATTTCCTCCCAAGTCCAAAGATGTGCAAGTTAGGTGGATTGGCTATGCTAAGTTGCCCATAGTGTCCAGGCATGTGAAGGCTAGGTGGGTTGGCAGGGTCATAGGGTAAGAAGGTGGGTTTGGATGGGTGCTGTTCGGAGGGTCAGTGTGGACTCGATGGGCTGAATGGCCTGCTTTCACACTGTAGGGATTCATTGACATGGGCCTGCCGTCAAACTAATGGCTGATGCAATGGGAAAGGAGCAGGAATACTAGGCAATTGGACCATGTTCTGGTTTGAATTAGCAGCCATCTGTGCTGTTTTGCCACCTATATGTGGGCTAAAAAAAAATGAGTAGATCTTTGTATTCAAAGTGGCCAGGGAATTGGAAATCTGGGACCAAGGAGAAATTAGGGAAGAGTTGGTTATTAGACTTTTATTATTGCCCAGTACATTTTTGTCCAAACATTCCCTATTTTGTTTTAAATGAAACCGTTTCAGTGCTACTGCCCCTGTTCTCACCAGGTTGCAGCTGGTCAGCTTCAGAGAACTCTTCATGACTGCCAAAGCCACGATAATCTCTGGAGATCAGAGGGCAAGCTCTTAATGAGCTCCCTAATGGCCTCAATCCTCCCAATTAACAAGCCAGGTGCCTTCACTCTATCGCACATCCCTCCCCTTCCACCTCTCTGGGAAAGTTAGCAATGCTGAGAGTGGAGTTGGCACAGCAATGTGTAGATAACTGGCACTCTTTGTTTTCTGCTGCCCTGCATCCATTCCATTCCGAATGGGGATGGTTTATGGTATGAGCAGCTACCTGAAGCATTGTCTATGTAACTTGTGGAGGATTGGCAATAAGTCACATGACTAATGGTAACTATTCTTGATCATGTCAGCTGGATCTTTTCCTTTCAGATGTAATAATAAGGTACAAAGGCAGTTTTATTCCTTTGATGTGAAAACCTGGATGTGCTATGTTGGCTGTTTCTCTTTTACAGGATGTCAGTTCTGTGCAGTATCACATTATTCTTGGGGAGAAGTTCCAATATGATAAAATTAAGGACGGAATTCATCGAGGAACTATGATGGGATCATCCTATCAAGTAATATTTTACCTTAAGCAAGATAAGGTATGCTTTGCTTTGTATTAGCAGGAAAGCTCTCTCCTTTTCTCACCTCAGTTGTATTCTTTCTGTGTCAGCAAAGTCAGCTTCTCCCTATCTACTAAATCAAAATCATTCGCATCCACAATGTGGAATCATAGGCTCATACAACACAGGAAGCGGCCATTCAGCACCCCCATCATGTCTGTTTGCTTTGTTTTGGAAGAGCTATACAGTAATTCCACTCCCTTTTTTTCCCCATAGCCCAGCAAATATGACCTGTTAATTCCAATTCCCAATAAGTATTGAATTTGCTTCCATCACCCTTTTCAATTGAGTATTCCAGATCAAAACAACTCACTGTGTAAAGAAATTTCTCCTCATCCCAATAGCTATTGACTTTCCAATAATCTTAAATCTGTTTCCTCTGTTATTAACTCTGCTTTCAGTGAAATCAGCTTCACCATATCTACTAACTCAAAATCATTCACAATTCTGAGTAACTGTATTAAACCTATTTTAAATAAAAAGGTATAAAAACAGAATTCAGCAGATCCGGCAGCATCTGTGGAGAGAGAAGCAGTTAGCATTTCAAGTCCAATTGACTGTTCTTCAGATTTCCAACCTCCGCAGTATTTTGTTTTTAAGAAAACCGGTATCTTCAATCTGTTAGCCCTACCATATATCTGTACAGTAAAATATTAATGGATTCTTGGGAATTCTCTGTAACTTCCATGATCTTACTTTCCAGCTCTGATGCTTTGAATAATTTGTTGACTGAGTTAGATAACTTGCAGAACATGTAACTCATAAAGGAAAAGATTAGCAGGGCAACACGAATGTCTAGGAGAATGGGATTAATTGGTTGCTCATTTGGAGAGCCAACAAAGGCATGATAGGGGCAGAATGGACTGTTACTATGCTATATAGTTCTATGATTCAACAGCAAACCACACCACAACATCATAAGATGCCACCAAGCCTTTGATTGCATTTGGCTACAACAAGTGATAGTTAAAACCTCAAAAGCAAACAGGCCTCCAAAAAATGTTAAAGTACAGCAACATACTGAGACCTCTGACACATGAGGATGCAAATTGAATTGTAAGCAAGTTTGTACAATGTTTATTGCCTCAAAGTTTCTATTGTGGTGATTTTGGATTATAACAGGGTATTAGTTTATGTAACATGGGTTGGGCACAGTGTCACATGTTAAATACACAAACGTTTCACTGTTATTGTAATACAAAGACATATTTCAATCTTTGAATGAAATGGTTTATCTTCAATGTAAATATTTTCTATATAAAAGCACTGATGAGTAATCGTGATTCATAAAGTGCAAAGAATACTGAATTAATGTTAAGGGCAAAATGTTACAGTCCTCACTAATCGGTCTGCAGTATGTTGGCTCCTGTAAAATTCTTCCGATGGCTTTCCCTCCACCTTCCTGCCTGTGCTGACCTATCTGGAATTTTACGGTTAAATGGGCAACATCCAGGCCGGCTCACGCTCCTGTCCTTACCTTAGTTGAAACCCTTAATTAAGGACCACTTAAAGGTGACTCCCACCAGCCTTAATTTTGCAGGACATCTGAAGCAGGACTCCGAGTGAGAGTGAGGTCTCATTTCTAGTCAAATAACGGTCCTTGGAACATTAAATGTTGGAGGGATAGATGGTATCAGTGGTTGAGGTGAAAAACCTCACTATCCAAAAATCATGTTCATTAAGATTAGTCCTAAGGTACAAACTACTGTGTCAGAACTTCAGAGATTGTCATTGCATACCTCCTGAGAATCCACATACTTCCTTTATTATTGTCTTCTATCTCCCCTGTGTCTTTCTTGTTGCTGCTTATTTTTAATCAATAGGTAAATGTTTCTTCCAGTGTCTGTCTGTGATGTACAATTTTTCTTTGTCATCACGCTCAGGTGGTTTTGTAGTGCAGACCCTGGTGAAGTACAAACATTGGAATGATGATTTGAGTGCATCAAAAGTCTGCCTTGCTGTGTTCCAGCTTTTTCAAATGTTTTTCTGATACATAGGGCAGAATCTGCCCAGCCCCTGAGCAATGTGGCCATTGACGAGAAAGTTAGGGGGAGCACTGCGAGCAGCCTCCTGCCATTGAGAGCAAATTTTCCAACAAGCATTGATCAGTGAGATGACAGTCTCGCCAGTGAGCAGTGAGAGGCCTATTTGCATCCAGCAGCAACATCTACATCCTCATTATTATATCATCTCACCTCATTGGTTTGCCATTTGCCATTCTCTCACCTTGAGTAGGAAACTAGACTATGACAATTCCCAAACCGAAATTCAGAGCAGTAACCTGGTGACTCCAGCTCATCATTTGGGTCCTCCATCGACCACCAACATCTCAGGACACTGCCCATGGGCAGAAATTGCACCCGTCCTGCACCCATCCATCAGGACCTCCAGGACTCTGTTGGAGAAGTGGGATGCCATTTACATTACCCTCTGTACGACATGTTCAGGGCAAATAAAGCAAATCATGCAGGGCAGCTGTAGTCTGCCAGTGCTTGACCAGCTGCATAGCTGAGTTTTAAAATTTGCTGTGGTGTCAGGAAACCCAGGAGGCTGAGGTGGAGGGAGATCAAGCTGAAGAAGCGTATGAAAACCTGAGCATCCCATTCAACTGCTTGATCGAACACAACCTAGCATGTGTGGCAGGGTCTGCAAATCCAGCATTGGACTGTTAAGTTACTGCAGGACCCTCCACCCTGGAGTAGAAGAAAATCATCCTTCATTCCTAGAGAGTACCTAAGAAGAAGACATAATACTGCCTTCTTTGCTTCTTGGTGAGAGTGAAACAGATCTTTTAATAACAGGTACAGTGCCTGAAGCAATAGTAGATCCTGGTGATTCTTAACTTCTACATTCGTGGACTTCTCTGACCCACTTTTATGGATTATTCCTGTTGCCAATCTCTGTAAGACAACAGTATGTATATAGACAAAGATACAGTGGAGACTCTTAGAGCTGTGTAAAACTTAATAAATTTATTAAGTACTTAAGTAAAAGATATACACCTTTAACTACTAGAGATATCTCAACCACTGTCCTTTGCTACCCTGGGTTCTGTAACTAAGCCCAAATATTATTACTGGAGAGAGTTGGCAACTGGCCAGGCTGGAACTCTTCTCAGCATCTTCACCATGCCTTCTGACATAGGGTACTTCTTCACAGTTGTTAGTCTCGGAGTTACTGCTAAAATTGGGGGTTTCCTGGACTGTTTTTCATACAGTTCAGACCTGCCAAGTTGGCATTCCGTTTTCCTTATTTGGAATTGCTTGTGAAACTTGCCTGATATCACATGGTTTTTCCATGCATAGCCAGCAATGATCAAATTCCTTTGGTTTCTGCAAATCCTTCTCCCTCTATGGTCTCAACTGTAACTTAGCCCCCTGATTGGTCTTCTCTGTAGGTGGAATGTCAATCTGTTCATTCTTTCTAACTGCAGCTGGAACTTGAGTGTGATAACCTATTTACCTTAAAAAACTGCATTCTACAGTGTCTTCTGTCTGGTGTGCAGCTGACTTGTTCCAGTCCACTGTGAAATCTTATATCAATTCCCATATCTTTGGCCTTATCCCATCCTTGCTCATCTACACTAAAGAAAACTTAATGAAATCTCTATCCTATTGCATTGACTAAAACTGTTGACCTGTTGTTGATGATGTCCCATGTTAGGTTGCTGTTGGAGCTCTGCCAATTTTCTCCACCGCCTCGATGCAATGTTAAGAGCTGGTATCATTAATATGATCTGGTTGAGAAGACAAACAGATAAAGTTTTGTGTTAATCTGTGATTGGCACTCATTAGGCTTTTAGTGAGCCAAGGAAATTTGTGTATTATGGTTTGGATCCTGGAGGAATTTGGTTAAAATGTGCTAGTAGTCCACTGATCGTAAATTAGATCCAAATTAATTCATATGTAGTACAGATATCACCTATAAAACAAATTTCATCCTCTTCACAATTTAATGCTTCCTTTAGCCTTGTTTCTCTCCAGCTGTTTTGATTGTAAGCTGTGACACAGTTTAACTCTTAATGCTATAATGCATTATATCTGGATAAAACTATATGCATTGGACATTTGGACTCCTAAAATGAGAAGTCTGTTCTCATTGGGTAGGAGATTACACTAAAGCCTGTTAGCCCTTTATCCTTTCCTGTTGAGGCCATTTACATGGATTTTTGAGTCCCCTACATGTGCATTTTTTGGTTTGTTCACAGATGTTGAAGCCCAAAGGAGAATACAGCTGTTCTTTTACATGATGGAGGTTAGTTTTATCCTTGCAGCTGCTTTCTCAAGAGGCTGTATATGGTCGTCTTAAAGTGCTCAATCAGGTCCCTTAAGTGTGCACAGATGACAATTTAAAAGTAACGTTTTATAACATTTTAGTTGTGTTACTGTTGCTGTGGAGATTTTATTTAGCTGTTGAATTGCTGCAAACATTTAAAGCTGATGCTGTTTCAATTTTTTATCTTTCATTCATTCCTTATAATGTTCGTATCACTGGCAAGATAAGCATATACTCTCCATTCCTAGATACCCAGAAAAACGTAGCCATTCTTCTGGAACTACTGCAATTTTGTTTGTAAGTTTATTTGTTTCAAGGCAGTAATTTGCCAAGCCATTTCAGCAAGTCATTAAATGTCAACCATACTGTTGTGCAACTTTTTAAATTAATAAATCTATTTGTTTATAGAATTCCTGGCTAGGCCTGGTGGTACCATATAACACACTTAATGGCATCTGCAGTATGATGATGGGGCATTGACAACTTTAAAAAGATGCTCTGTATCTCCTTATGAGGTCATGGTGGGAGGGGAACTGTTTGTTTTACTCACTTTCTTGAACTTCCTGTATAGCATCGCAGCAAATGCATGGGAAAGAGGCAGTCAGAGCGATGGATACTAATTTGAGGGTTCAATCACATTGCAGTGTTCAGTTAACAAGTTGAATGTGACTGCTTCTGATTCCAATCCCATTCTGGTGTACGTTACTCAACTACAGAGTGCACAGACCGAGCCTGATGCCTAAAGCACTAATATTAAGGCAGGCAGAATATTCATTGATAACAAGGTGTAGAGCTGGATGAACACAGCAGGCCAAGCAGCATCAGAGGAGCAGGAAGGCTGACGTTTCGGGCCTGGACCCTTCTTCAGAAAAATTCAGAATATTCATTGGTTCTTTCACCTTTATTCTTTCATGGAAGGTGGATGTCATTGGCAATTCCAGCATTTGTTGCCCATCCTGAGTAGCTTGCTAAGCCATTTCAGAGGGCAGTTAAGAATCAAACAATTCACTGTGGGTCTTGAGTCCCATTGTGCCAGACAGGAATAGAATGGCAGGTTTCCTTCCCTTAAGGATGTTTGTGTGCCAGGTAGGCTTTTTTTTATAGCAATCAATGATAGTTGTCATGGCCATCATTGATGAGACTAGTTTTATATTCCATACCCTGCTGTAGTAGGATTTGAAACTACAGTCAGAGACTCTGGTTTGTGAGTGACATTACCATTATCCCATTATCTGAACAACGTTGACCCTTGTCTTTGTCTTGTTGGCTACTTTCTTCAAATGATCATGAAATATTTACATATGAGTTGGCTTCACACTGAGTGAAATAAGAATGGGTCATACAGTTTAGTTTTGTCAGCCATTGGAGTCCATAAGGACCTTGTGGTGGTCACTGTTCCTAATACTGTCATGGACAGTAAAGGTTAGAGGTGCTTTCCGCTAACATTCTACTGTACTACCATACACCCTTACTAAATCATAACCTCCTCATCATCTGCATGGAAAGTTTTGTAGTCCTATGATTTATGAAAGGGTATAATATTATTATCAGTGTATTACATGGTGTAAAAGCATTATTTTTTCTGCAATTATAATTAAGATTATAACGCAATTATTTTTCCAGATTTTTGTAAATGACATTGCATTAAATGGTTTTCACAATGAGACAAGAAATGGAATCTTACTGGGAACAACTCAAGTTCTTCAAATACAGAAGAATAGATGTGACACCAATAACACTGTAACTGTAGAGGTATGTATAAAATAACAGTGTGTACATGCATAAGCCAGGTACAGCATGGGCCTTTTGGCTTCAATTAGTAGTTTTATCTGGCTGTGAGATGTTGATTTCAATTGGCATCCCTGTTTAGTTTTACTGCTTTCCAGCAAAAGAGGCTGAAGAAACACTATTATGAGGCTTCTAATTTTCTTACAGCAACTGAAAACATCTTATTTACATCTTGCCTTTTTGCGCTTTAGCTCATGTTAGGCTCATACCAGGCTTGGGTTACTGCTGTCTTGTTGTGCTATTTGACACAAAGCCAGGAAGCTTGTTATAGTTGATAGCAGGCCTCAGCTGTCAAGGGATGTAGCCTTTGTTTGTGGCTTCCTGACACAGCAGGTCAAAGGCAGACTCCAATAACAGTCTAGGCCCTGCTCGGAGTGGGCAGAGTCAGGTTCCTCTCCTCGTAAAAGATGAGGAAGTGAATGATGGGCTGCAAACCACCCGCCTTGACTTTTTTTTTTGCCCTAATGTAAACTTTTTTTCATTAAAGAGAGAGAGGTCGATATTACAGGAGATGAAAGTGGGCAACACAGCTATTTCTGTTGGTGCAAGTGGAAGGTGTCTCAAATGAGTGAGTAGGCAACACAGATAGCATGCAGAATTAGTGGTGCCAGGATTTGGGGTGAGTGACAGCGAGTGAGGGAAGATGTTGTAGGCAATGGTAAGAGTGGTAAAGCATTAGTGGGAGGTGGATACAGTAGCAGAGAGACAGTGAATGTGAGTTAATGGAGAGAAGATGATGGCTTTACCTTGGCAGAGTTGAAAAGGACATTGACCTTCTTCCCACAGCACTAGGTATGCTCCCTGATGGCTGATAGTGCTTTAACCCAGGTAAATCTCAGGCCAGTCTGGTATAATCTGGTGTCATGACCTCCACTAGTGGAAAAGGAAATCCTGGGTCAGCACCACCCTGTCCAGTGAGACCTGCATGGTCCTGCCCACCAATTTACCCCTGTCTGTCGTGTCCAGGGCCAAAGAAAGGAACCATGCAGGGTAGTTCCGTACTGACTGTGTTTGGCTGGGTGAACAGGACGGTTTTCAAGTTGATGTGGTCACAGGGGATACTAGTGAATTCTGGGGTATCCACTGAGTGGCAAGTTGTTCCAGGAATGGTGTGTGGTTAAGATAGGGCAGGAATCAGACATGAGAGACACCATGGGGCATGGTAAGTAATTAATGAGGCAAGTTTGGTAAGGTATGGTGAAAAATCCCGTCAGACTTTACAGTGACAAACCCTTCAAAAAAAAACCTTTGCAACTTGGACTTAGCCAAAAAAAGGAAGATTCAGCCCAATGATTCTGTCTGTTGATATTGATAAAATTCCCTGATCCATCATAAATTTAAATACATCGTTTAATTCAGGATTCAGTGATCCTGATTTTTCTAAATTCATTTTCATGAATATCACAAACTCTCAGATTTTGTCTGGAGAATGCAAAAGCTACGTGAGGCCCAAATTTAACTATGTGCTCATAATTGGATTTTGAATGAGCTAAAGTCTTGCCTTATTATTCTAATCACAAACATTCTAAGAACCGTTTTACGTTCATTCTCCTTAATTTGAATTACTGAGTGAATGATTGGATGCTTTTATTGTATAAATATTTTAATTGGGCTATTTTCATCTAAACTCTAGAGAAACATGTCTAAAAGTAATATTCTTGGCAAAGTGGCTCAGCCGTATCATGTGTCCAATCACATGCCAACGTGAACAGAATAAAAGTCTAAGTTAATATTTTTCTTTCTAAGGGAGTATGTGGCAGCTGCGATGATAATCCCATCTGTCCTCAAGGGACAACCCCAATGGTAAGTAGAAATTCCAAGACCATCTTTGATTTTACTTCTCTTTTCCATTGTGATTGCTTTGCACAGTTTGTCCTACGTGCAGTTTAACTCTGAAAGAGATTAATCCAACTTTCCAAATTGCTCAAGACATATAAATTCTGTCAGTGAATGGTTTTATTGGCAGGAGCCTGAAATGTAAATGGAATCCAATGTTTGCTCTGTTTGTAAGAAACATCTTATTTCTAGTTTGTGAGTCATCCAGTGACATAGCCAAAAGCAGAAAACTCAGGCAGATAAAGCAAGTAAATAGGAGCATCTGTACGTCTCAAATTTGTTGCTTTCTATATGTAAGGTCCAAGCTACTATTACAATGAGATGGTGGATGTTCATTGGTCTAAATTATGAACATTTAGAATGATTGTCTGGAAAAAGAGTTACAAAGTGGTAGTGCAATTTAAATATCCTAATTATACAAATGGATGGTGAGAAGCTGGATATGGTTTATTTGATCATTAGATCCCTGGAATGTTGAAAGACCTGGTAATTTTGGCTTCTTGATGGTTTAAACAACGTAAATTTGACTTTTTAAAAAATGGGCTATTTTTCCAATTTTACTTCATTATTATGTTCTGTAGCTCAACTTCCATCTTTCACTCCAACTTCTTTCTTTTTATTCCATAAACTACTCTGAACTCCAAATAGAGCATCACGAGTTTGAAGCTTAATAGATCATATCTTTTTCACTTTGGAACCTAATGGACCTTGGTCCACCTTTGTTACCTATGCACAAAACCATTGTTCTGGTTTGGAAGCTATTGTATATGCAATACGGGGAGACGATGGCCTTGTGGTATTATCGCTGGACTGTGAATCCAGAGACCCAGATAATGTTCTGGGGACCTGTGTTCGAATCCCATCATGGCAGATGGTGGAATTTGAATTCGATAAATGTCTGGAATTAAGAATCTAATGATGATCGTGAATCCATTGTCGATTTTTGGAAAAACCCATCTGGTTCACTGATGTCCTTTAGGGAAGGAAACTGCTATCCTTACCTGGTCTAGTCTACATGTGACTCCAGACCCACAGCAATGTGGTTCACTCTTAACTGCTCTCTGAGCAATTAGGGATGGGCAATAAATGCTGCCTAGCCAGTGACGCCCTCATCCCATGAATGAATAAAAAAAAAAAAGGCCTGCATTGGGATTTCTGCTACCAACCAGAAGTCTTGGTAAATTCCTGCAGCACATCCTCTAGATAGTACTCATTACAACCACAGTTATACCAGCGATGGAGTGAATAGTTGTGAGTATGGAACTCGGAAAGAGGCCAAGAATGATAATTTGCTTTTTGTATAAGTACTTAGTTTGTTTAAATTCTATGTTTGTCAAAAACAAGGGCTGTATATAAAACATTTATAACAAGATTAAGGATTGTTGAGCATTTTGAGTATTATTTAGATATAGAATTGTTAACTGAGAAAGTTCATGATTCAATAAAATATGTCATTTTGAAGTGTTTTTTTTTGCATAGGAGTTTGCTGGTGATGTTCGAACACACACCTGCTTTTATAAAGAGTTTCGAAATGGCAAAGGTGTGGAACTTTCTGGCTGCAAGCCCAGCTGTGTTAAAGTAACCATAGTGAGTATATTTTCTACATATTACCTGCAACATTTCTTTCTCATTTACCAGGTTTTCTTCTGTCGTCTTGAGGCACTGGCCCATGCAAGTAGGGATTCTCTGAGCAGTATTTAATGGGGGTTTCTCCTAGGGAAGACCCGCTGATTTAAGTCTCAATTATGCATTTAACTGGGCAGCACTGGGCCTTCAAGAACCACAGGAGACCTCCAAGTCCCACCTGTTGAGAACTGCTAGCCAAACAGAGGGATGGTTGTCATAGAGGAGGGTTTGCAGCAAGGCAAAGATTAACTTTCATTGGCAACCACTCTTCCCAATCCTGTGTCCATGATATGGCTTGTCTGAACCAGAGATCTCTGCTTCTTTCTTCCCCAGCTCCAAAAAACCCCTGTGAACCCAAAAACATACCTTGAAAGGATTTGCTTTTGCAGGGTCCCTGCATGATGAGACCTTTACCTGGTACAGGATGAATGCCAGTATCCATAGGATAAAACCCTTCAGTGGCCATTATTTGCCCACTTAATAGCCTCAATTGGTGGTGGGCACAAATGATGACCACAGGGCTCCCGACCATAGATGTAATCATGGCAGTGGTGGTTGGGTAGTAGAACCCCGCCACTATTCTGCCTGATTAACTACATCCCACCAATGAATTCACTGTGGTGAAGGGCATGAAATTGTGGCCCCTGTGTAAGCCTAGAGAATATGTGCTGTTCCGTCACTACTAAATAAAACAGCTAAAGGGAATGCCCATTTGGTTCACTAATGTCCTTGCCATTCTTATTTAGTCTGGTCTACATGTGACTCCAGACTCTCGGCAATGTGGTTAATTCTTAACAGGGCAATTAAGGATGGGCAATAAATGCAGGCCTAGCCAGTGATGCCTGCATCATGTGAACGGGTTGGGATTTTTTTTGAATATTGAGAACAGCCTTAGCAAAAAGTCTCCCAAACTATGGGATTTTCACTCGGGTGGATGTGGGAAGCCACATAGAGATGAATAAAATAAATTTTGAATAATCTAATACAGCTCTCATTCATATATGTTCAATGATGAGAAAAAAAAACTTCCTTTTGTAAATTCCATTGAGAATTTTTATATCTCCTCGAAGTGCTTAATCCTTTACACAAACTTCTATTCAGATGCCACATTTAAAACAGCTAATCCTTTAATAGCCTGTGTAATCTGTGAACTCAGAATCCCCTGTTGAGATAATTGTAGCTTTTGAAAACCAGCCAAGCATACATAATCACTTAATAACACTTGTGGAAAAGTCGACAAAGAATTCAATTGCAACTGCACAATCAGATCCTAGTTTTTCTCAAACCCATGCTGAATAGCCTATCAATGAAAGCAGTACAGCAGAGGTGTATTTTTTAACATTACACTGACAGTTTGTTTTATTTTTAAAGTTTAAAAAGCCTGAGATTTAAAAATAAATCTACAAATCATCATTTATACAGACCTGATCCAAACTATAAGAGCATTTGCATCTGCTGCATAATTCATGACTCACACATTGAGGGTTAAGACCTTTCTACCAGCCAAATTGTGGCTTGTTTGAACATAACATTAAATTCAAATGGCCTGCTGAGTTTATGTTTCCCTTCTTCCTGTTTCACACTCTGCCTCCTTTCCCCACCAGCAACAATTAGGTCTATCAGAAGCGTAAGTGGGAATTACGCATTAGGGTCCTGCCTCCCATTTTTAAAGGTCGTTTGATTTCTGACACTGTCAGTTGGCTGTTTCACTGGGAAACATGGTGGAGTCCGATCCTCTCCTTAACAAATGGGTACATGCAAAGATTCAGTGGTCACAACCAGATAGCAGCAAGAATGAAGATCTCAGTTGGTTTTTATCATTCTTCTGCCAGCCAATTAGAAATCCCATGCTTAATTTTGAAATTGAGTTGTAGTGAATGTCCAATCAGGAATAGAAATCCATCCTAAAATGATGACGGGAAAAATAGGTGATCGATCAAGCCTAGTGCATATCACTGCAGTGCAACTTAAACCATGTGCTTAATTAGTCTCCTTCCACTACCCATCAGCAGCCACTTCACTGCCCTTTTGGGGAAGAAAGAACACAAGGATTTACCCTTGGATCCATTCATAGAGAAATTAAATTAATTGCTGAAACCCAATAATTGCACTAGTTGGTCAATGTGTTACCTCAGATGCACTATTTTAATTATAAAGGTACAATTCCTGAGGAGAGGGCCCTGCATATGAATATATAAGGCTTCAAGAAAGTGTAAGTGAACCACATTTTGAGCCCTACTGATAATCCTAAATTGGTTGTGAGTGTAATTCTTAGTACAATCAGTGTCAACCTGTCTGATGTAAATTTTTTTGTGAACGCCTGGCAGTTAATTGTCAATTGTCAATCATCACTAATTGATGCATTCTCCATGGCAATGCCTCAACTAATCAGAGTTCACTTGCCAACCAATTGGCACTCTCCTCTTGTGCAATATTTCCCCTTGAATTGGTATTATTGAGAATTATCCTGATGAGTGCAAGATGACAAGTCTCTTTGACAACCTGTCTTATCAGTATGTGCTGATGTTAATTTTGAGTTGATAATTTGAATTTCGACAGTATAGCAGTTAGAAGGCAAAGCACATCCCCAACTCACTTCAGATAACCTAGTGTAATGGGAATTGGGCTTCAAGCCTTTCAGACTTTATGGCTTAGTCAGACTCCTAACTACTGAAGAATACTTGGATACCTTAGAAAGAGTCATGAGTGTATTCAGTTTGGCCATTCAGAGATTGTTTGCATGTTTTGGTATTGAGTGTACAATGGCAAATTCCATTTTAATTTCTTGTTTATTATAAACTGATTTAGTAAGTGGTTCTGTTCATATTGTTGAAATCCTTTCATTTCTTTGCTTCACACTTTACAATTAGAGCCAAAAAAGGCATCAGACCTAGCTAGACATTACATGGACATGGCAGAACATTTTGTTTTGACATTCTACTCTAACCAAGAGAACTAATAAATGGCAAACACCAAATACTCTCTCGACACAGAGAATTGAGCCTGTGGATGACTGGAATTCTCAGAAGCGGAACTCAAATTTGAGGTTCTTGTTTGCATTGTAAAATTGACACATTCAGGATGATGAATTGAGCCACTATCTTAGTTGTGAAGCAAAAGGAAAACAAGCCAATTTACATTGCACAATACCTCATTTCCTAACTATAAATTTAATGGAAATCTATTGAAAGTGTACAGGAATTTCTTTTCATAGGAAATAAATTTTTTATCAGACATGCCTGGCCTGTCAACTGTGTAAGAATTTGCTATGTTCACATAGTATCATTTGACGGATGACAACAGTTTTCTCCATTTTCTTGGCTTTAATATATAACAAATTTTGCAGAAAATAAACTTAGGAAATCGCCAAAATATTTTGAATGCAATAAACAGGATACTCATAGGCTGTTCACGAAATTTTATTTTAGTTCCACTAGTGTAGCTTCGTGCATGCAAATAAATGTAATATTTTATGGGAAAGCTTTCAGTTATCCTTCAAAAATTGAAGATTCAACATTAGATCTGATTGTAGTCGTTTTGCCTGACACTCCTGTCTCATTACTGCTTTTGGTTATTTTAGACTTTAAAATGCTGTTTTGGATACTTTGGATCAAAGTGTCAGATGTGCCCTGGGAAGCCAGATGCTTGGTGCTCCAATTTTGGCATTTGTCAGGATGGCGTCAATGGAACTGGAGAGTGTCTGTGTCGTGAAGGATTTCAAGGGACTGCCTGTGAATCTTGTGAGGCTGGTAGATATGGGCCACATTGTGAACTGGGTACGAATAATATACATAATAAACAGTGAATGGAATGGTACAGGAGCCAAAATTTTAAATTTCATGAGATGTATCTATTGATGCAATGCTTATAATATATGCATCTCAGTATTGTGCTATTCATGATCTAGCAGTTAGTGCTATTATCATTCTAGGTAACATGACATATTGTCACCCTAATCAGCAGAAAATTTCACAGAAATTCAAATCTTAAATTTATTTTTCTTATTGGTTCAGTCATGCTGCTTTTTTTAAGCTTTGGACTAGAAATTTGAACACAGTTAGAAATGTTTCCATATTATTTATCAGCTCACTGTTAATCAAGGCTATAGTGTCCATTGGAAAATGCAACGCAAAATTGCAAGAACGCAAAAATGCAAGTTTATTACACAAAAAAAAGTATATGCATCACATAGTTTAGAAGGATTTAAACATAAACAGCAAGACAAGATTTTCAACTTCTATCCCATCAATATCCATTACAGTTACTCAATCCCACAGAAATATCACTCCTATCTCAACTCTTTAATTTATTACATTCTCTGACTCATCCAGTTCTCATTCTTGGACTACTGTAAGTTTTAATACTTATTTATAATTCTTTCAGTCCAATGGCTTAAATGTGCTTTTGGTTCTGATAACTTGAAAATTTCTTGAAAAGTTGTCACAGCTTGGAGACTTCACAAACTAAATTCCTTCTCCTCGACTATTCTCCCAAACTGAAAACCTGATTCCTTGGAAAAGAAGTCACAAGTATGTTTTCTCTGTCTGTAAATTGAGCAGCATAAATATTTAATCATTTATCCTTCTAGTATCCTCCTAGGCATTTAATTGAATCACATATGGTGAGCAGCATGGTGGCTCAGTGGTTAGCACTGCTGCCTTACAGCGCTAGGGACCTGCGTTTGATTTTACCCTCGGGCGACTGTGTGGAGTTTGCACGTTCTTCCTATGTCTGTGCGGGTTTTCTCCGGGTGCTCCGGTTTCATCCCACAGATGTGCAGGCTAGGTGGATTGGCCATGCTAAATTGCCCGTAGTGTTCAGAGATGTGTAGATTAGGTGGGGTTTAGGGGAATGGGTCTGAGTGGGATGCTCTGAGAGTCAGTGTGGACTTGTTGGGCCAAAGGGCCTGTTTCCACACTGCAGGGATTCTATGAAAAAAAATACTTTCTTAGAAAAGCCATATTTATGTCACTGTTCCAAATGACTTTCTGATCTCTTTTTTTTGACAAAAGCCTGCACAGAACTGAAGTCAAAATCACCTGCCTCTGTTTTAAACAGTCCATATTCTAAATATTATAATATCTTATACTTATCACAATTGTGGTAATATTTTACCACAGTAGAGGATGTTTTTTACAATGTACACATAGTATTTGTTTTCCATTAGTTATTATGTTGCACTAACATTTGAACAATGGAACATAAGAAATGGCAGGAGAAGGCCATTCAGCCCTCAGGCCTGCCATTCTGTTAGATCATGGCTGATCTGCCCTTGGCCTCAACTCCTCTTTCATGCCAGCTCATCATGGTCCTCAATTCCCCAATATTTCAAAAATCTATCAACTTTCACTAAAAAAACTTCGTGATCTAGCCTCAACGACTCTCTGAGACAGAAAATTTCAGACATTTACTATCCTCTGGGAGAAGGAATTCCATTCCATTGTTTTAAATGAATTTCTCCTTATTCTGTAACCATGTCCTCTAGATGAAGATTCCCTCATTAGTGGAAACATCTTCTCAACATCTACCCTGTCAAGCCCCCTCAAAACCTTGCATATTTCAACAAGATCATCCATCATTGTTGTCAACTCAAATGAATAAAAGCTGAATCTGTTTAGCTGTTCTTGATGAATTAACCCATCATCCCAGGAATCAGCTTAGTGAATCTGTCTTAAACTGTCTCCAATGTCAATGCACCTTTTCTTAAATACAGGGACCAAAACTGTACACCATACTCCAGATACAGCAGCACAGACACCCTTGTACAATTGTAACAAGACTTCCCTATTTTTAAACTCCACCATCCCAGCAATAAAGGCCAAAATTGCATTTGCTTTCTTAATTACATGCTGCACCTACATGTTAACTTTTGTGTTTCATGAATAAGAACATACAGATCCCTCTGCGCTGCATTTTTGAGTCTCTCACCATTTAAGTAATGCTCTGACTTATGATTCTTTCTACAAAAGTGCATGACTTCACACTTTTCTATGTTAAACTTCACCTGTCATGTTTTTGCCCATTCACTCAAACATCTATATCTCCTTGCAGATTCTTTACATCCTTATCACAACAGTAGGTTTGGATGTATTGCAGTCTGTCCCCTCCCCCAAGTCATTAATATAGTTAATAAATAAGTGAGCCCCTAGGACTGATCCTTGTGGCATTTTACTCATTAGCACTGTCCAACCTGAAAAAGATCCATTCTTCCTGATTGTCTATCTGCTGGGTGTTCACCAGTGCTCTTCCTTTATGAACGTTTTTTGGAGATCTTAAGATCACTTTGATTTTGCCAATTTCCATCTTTCTTTAAATAATTGCTGAGAGGTATGTCAGAGATCCAGATGATAACTTGCCCCAAAGCTTCCCTCTATTTCTGAGAGAAAATGTCTGACAGTATTATTGCCTCTTCTAACAGCATAGATGTTCAGGATGTTAGCTTTCTTTGTTTTACCATCTTACAATTATATTAACAGTGTGTTTATTTATATTTATTTAGAATGCCTGTGTGTAAATGGGAAGTGTAATGATGGACTTGATGGTGATGGAACTTGTAACTGCTTCAAAGGCTGGAGAGGCATCAATTGTGATGTTGGTAAGTGAAATATATTATTTGAAATATTACATCTAAACAAGGTACATAGAAACTATATTCTGTTGAATATATATGTGTACATTGTAATAGATTTTTAGAATTTATAAAATGTAGATAAAATATTCTCTATGTAATCTATTCTATTATAATAATCTTACCTGAAAGGAATAATGCTGATTTGGACATGATGAGAAAAGATGTGATATGGTTGTTTGTTGGCTTGCTGTGTTTCGGATGGCTGTTTGACACATGATTGCTTTTATGCCTGACAATGAGAGTTAGGATGGTCACCATTATTTTCGCTGCAAATTGTGGGTGTATATTTAGAACCTAAATCCACTTGATGCTGGGTATGTAACATATGTGTAAATCTGTTACCTTTTTTCTTTGGACCATCTGTGACCTCAAAGCCCTTTGGGTTGCAGTTTTCTTGGATTACTAGGATCTTCTGTTATGATCTTTTCCTGAAATGTTTTCTTTCTCCATGGATCAAAGTTTAGCTTCTACAGAGAAGTCTACTCAATGATTAACTCGCTTCCATAGTGAACTGTTCACTGTCACATCTGTTGTGCTAACATTTGCAATTGTGTTCATTATGTTTGTAAAACCTACAGATTTGATTTTTTTCAGAAAGTAATTCTTGTTATTAGATTGCAGCTCTTTAACCCCATTTAAAACCCCATTTACGTGGGGAAACAAGTCCTCCATTTCTACTTTGTTAAATTAGAATGTTGGGTAAATACTGAAATTGTCAGGATGTGACTAGTGGTGTCCTGCAGGGATCTGTGTTGGGGCCTTAATTATTCACAATGTTCATTAATGACTTGGATAATGGCATAAAACGTCAAATATCTAAATTTGCCGATGTTGCAAAATTGGGCAGCATTGTCTCCAGTATTGACGACAACATAAGATTACAACATGACGTTGATAGATTAGGTGAATGGGCAAAGCTGTAGCAGATAGATATTAATGTAAGCAAGTGTTAGCCATTTCAGACCAAAAAAGGATAGATCAGGCGATGTTTTAGAAGGCACAAATTTAAATACAGTGGATGTCCAACGAGATTTGGGGGTTCAGCAGCATAGCTCTTTAAAATGCCACGAACAGGTACAGAAAATAGTCAAGAAGGCATATCGAATGCTGGCCTTCAGATCTAAAAAGCTGGAGTATAAGGATGCAGGTGTCATGCTGCAGTTATCCAGAACTCTAGTTAGATCCCACTTAGAGTACTGTGAGTAGACCTGGGTGCCACACCTTAGGAAGGATGTTTTGATCCTGTTAGGAGCTCAACAAAGGCTGACAAGGATGACACTTGAACTTCAGGTTTTAAATTATGAGGAGAGATTAGACAAATTAGGCTTTTATTCACTAGAATTTAGAAGGTTAAGGGGTGATCTAATCGAGGTCTTCAGGATTTTAACAGGGAAAGACAGAGTAGATAAAGATAAACTATTTCCACTGGTTGAAAATTCTAGAACCAAGGGGCATAGTCTAAGAATTAGGGCCAAGCCATTCAGGAGAGATATTAGAAAGCACTTCTACATGCAAAGAGTAATAGAGGTTTAGAACTCGCTTCCTCAGACAGCAGTCAATGCTAATTCAATTGTTAAATTTAAATCTGAGATAAACAAATTTTTATTAAGCAAGGGATCAAGGGATATGGGACAAGGCAGGCATATGGAGTTAGGCCACAGATCAGCCATGATCAACTGAATGATGGAGCAGGCTCGAAGGGCTTCATGGCCTACTCCTATTCCTATGTTCCTACGAATGTTAAATTCTACCATGTTATGGTTCCTGTTTTCTAAGGTATCTTCTACTCTGAGATCATTTATTAAACCTGCCTCATTGCAGACCCAAATGTACTTGCTTTCTGGTTGAATTCACAACATATTCTCTGAAAAAGTCCTAATGTCACTCCATGATTCTTCCTTGTGGCTACCTTTACCAATTTGATTTTCCCAATCTAAATGAAGATTGACATCAACTATGATTAATTTTTTACATCCTTTACTATCTCCTGGATTATTATCTAGCCTGCAGCATAGCCAATGTTGGGGGCCTATGGTCTACTTGTACCAATGGTGTCTTCCCTTTGTTACACCTTATCTCCACCCATATGGATTCCATGTCTTCCAGTCTGGGATCATGTCTTGTTATTGTGCTTATTCCATCTTGTACTAACAACACTAACCCACTACCCTTTCCATCTTGTCTCTCATTTCAAAACTTCATATACTTCTGAATATTTAATAGCCAGCTTTGATCTCCTTGTAACCAAGTCTTTGTAATGCTTGCAGTTTCATATCCATTAATCAAAATTTATGCCATTAATTAATTTATTATGTTCTGAATACTAAGTGTATTTAGGTACAGAGGCATTAATTTTGTTGTTCTAGTACTTTATTCCCTTTGACGCAATTCCTCCTTTGTTTTATGTTTGTGCACTCGGTCCCACTCTGGGTATTTGTAATAACTCAGGAACCCCACCTAAAGGAATACCAAAATAGAGCTGCAACCTGTAGCTATACCCGGTCTGGGACTCACAGTTCTGCTGATGCATCCCTGGGTCTGCTCTATTTCATTTTTTTAGATTTTAGTGACACTGTAAAAAGACACCATTGTGTATATACTTTATTATTCACTGTCTCTGCTTTAGCAAGGGCTCAGGTGATGAGTTCCAGCTGGGCAGGCCATTGCTTGTTACCAAGGGAACCCCTACTGAGCAAGCTCCATGAGGAAAATAATTAATGATTCCCCGTGGGCATTGTAGAGGTTATCACATCCGTCCCCACCAAGTCCACGGGTCTCTCCTTGCTGCTGTGATGATGGGGCCTCTTGTGTCCCTTTGCTGATGGCCCCATTCCTGTTGCTTTCTGGGTCTGATTGGGGGTGTGTTTACTAAGTAGGCGAACCTCTCTTATGTGAAGATTAAAGAGCCACTCCAGGGTGCTTGTCCTCGGTAGTGACCTCCAACTGATCTTTCACCGCCTCTGCCTCCATCTCCGAGTCCAAGTCCATGTGGTCCTCAGGACTGTCTCTTGAGCTTTCGGTGGATAGCGTTTCCTGTCCGCTGGATGCTGATGGGGTCATGTCTCCCAAAACAATCAATTCTGTGGAGGCTTTCTGTTGACAGAGGTGATTGACATGCTCATTTATAGTCTTTTCTGCAATTTTAACCATTGATGATACCGGTCCTGTTTTAGTTTAAATGGATTACTCCAGGAATCCATAGAGAGCCATCACTGTTTCTTTTGTGGACTATATCTCCTGATTTAAAATTTCCATCTGGCCCAAGCCCATTGTGACCCCTTTTCTGGACTTCTTGCTTTATTTCAACCTTGCCACTCAAGAAGACATTGGCCCATCATTAGTTCACTGGAGCTACTCCTATTGACATATGTGGTGTTGTCCTATAGTTGAAGAGGAAATGTGTACATTTCATTTCCAAAGACATACCATCAATAAGCGGAGTCCCTTGCCCATGTGTAACTCAGGTTATGGCAGTCCCAACAATATGTAAGGGCTCCCTAATGTATGTGACCAATCCAGCCTTGGTATCTCGCAGGTTTAAAGGCAAGATGCTCCATTGGAGCTTCCTTAAGGTTTGCTCCCCAACAATAGCTACACCAGCACCTCCATGTCTAGGTTGGCCATTTATCTGGAGTTTTATCTTAATTGGAGCCATTTTGGGAGCAGTGAGGTAATTTAGCTACATCAATTCCTCATCCTTGGACTGATTTATTTGCAAAGCCTTGTCTTGAAGTGGCTTTACCCTTTGACCTGGGCAGTACATGTTTCCCTTGTTTCAATAACCTTGTCTGGGGCGAATTCAATGACCACAGGTGGAGCATGGACAGTCTTGCTCCTCACTGTATTGTGGAGAAACTTCCCATTCAGTTCTGGAACCTTGTCCCTCCTACCCTAATCGCCATTCATTGGCAACAAACGAGAGCCATGAGTATTATCCATTGAGGACTTGGCTCTGTATTATGGGGCTCGCCCAAGGTTGAGGATAATGATTCCACATGGGCCTTGTAGGGATTATCACAGTGCTATTACCTAAGTAGCTGCCCTACAACGCTGTCATATTCTATAGCATTGTGAGCCTATGTATCCTTTCTTCAGAAACCACCCTCCTACTTAGTTGAGGACCCTGTCTCCATTCATCAGAAGACTAGTCCCAGCATGGCTCAAGTGAAGCCCATCTCGCTTCAACGTCTCTGTACTGTTCCAGTATAGTGCCAGTACTCATGAACTGAAACCCATTCCTCTTGCATCAATCTTTGAGCCACGCATTTAACTCCATGACATTACTTATCCTGTTATAGTTTGCACATGTCTTAAGGTAGTCATCCTGTGATTATTACCTTGGGCATTTTGTTTGTCAATTTAGCTCCTAACTGTTTAGCAGAACTTCCATTCTAGTCTTATCAATGTCATTAGTACCAACATGGATGACCCCTGGATCGCACCCTCCCACCTCAGCTACCTCTCTAGCCCTGAGGAGATGTCCTTCACCCTGGCAATGGGCAACAACGCTTATGCTCATGGCTGCACATAATATCTAACCCCCTATTTTACTGTTCTCTCTGAGTATTACAGCCCTGATTCCTCTTCCCACTTATACTTAACAAGCTATTTTTAAGAAAAAGAGGAAAAGACTAGACTCAAGCCCTGGCTAAAGACCCTTACTTTTACTTGAAAGACTAGAAATACTTACCAATTTGACTTACTAATCAGCTGCTTTTCTTGGACTTGTTGTGGTTTGTGATGTTCCTTCATTACTGGTGTCATTTCAGGTGAGCATCTCAATCTGTGCGTTTTATCCTCTCCTGCTAACCTTTCAATCTGGAGACTTTACTTCTTGCCATAAGCCTTAGTTAAAGCACCTCTTCCTCTGCAGTGAATTCCCACTTTGAACCATATTCCCAGATATACTCAATTGGCCTTTTATCTCACTCAGATGAAGTTGCCCTCCTGCTCAGTGCTGACAATGCAATTTAAAAACTTCTTGCTAAAACAGAGGTTTGATGAGTCACTTTTTAGCTTCACGTCCTGCTGTGGTAATTAGCACCTCCATTCAGGCAGGAGAATACTGCGATGATCAGACAGTTGCGTATTTATATAGCTATTTTAATTTGCTTAAAGACTGCTGGTTCAGGTCTGAATCTGATCTTTATTCTCAAATTGGACTTGAAAAAGATTTACCAATCGAATTCTCCACTTTGAACCAAGTTCCCAGATATAGTACTCCGCATCTGTGGTGAATTTTCCCTCATACAGATTGCTCCTTAGTGGGACCGCCCTACATTTATCTGTAGTCATTATAATCCTCGGAGTCTGTTGACAATGTGAAACATTAATGCTTTTCCCATTCCTATGTAACAGAATTTGTGACACTTTGAAAGAACAATTAGGTTAATGCGCAGTTCTATAAATTTCTCCTAGCATTCCAATTGGAAAATGAATTATGACTTAATACTTCAGTATTTTTCTTTTTCAGGAATTGTAAATGATTACTGCAATGGCACTTGCCATCCCAATGCTAAGTAAGTGAAACTAAATTAATTTCAAATTTTCTTGTAGCTTGGCTGTTGGAATGAATGAAATACCTATCATTCCAGTAGTTTTGTTCTTTTGCAAGTTGGAATGGGACCTCAAGTTTAGATGTTAATTCTTTATGGAGGCAGCAGTGAGATAACATTCCTATAATGTTTGCATCACAGCGTGTCGATGGACAAAACATCTAGGCATGTTTATGGGTAATATTTCTTGGGTACCTACCACACACAGTGCATGTCCTGGTACAGAATCAAGGAAACACAACTTGGCATTATAAAATCAATTCCAATTAGTGATGGAAATCAATAAATAAAGTAACATTTGAAAACTGTCAACTTTAAAAAAAACAAGCTGAGTGCCTCTTTGTTCTAGTTGCCTTCTAGGATCACCTGACTCTCTGGCCTCCTGCATCTGTTCTGCTGGCTACACTGGAAATGGAACATACTGCTCAGGTATGACTATGCAATCCACTGTCACAGGGAAGGTTGCAGTCCCTGTATTAATCCAAACATCTTACTAACCACTGACCCAACAAACCCTCCGAAATTGGCCTGATTAACCCCATCAGATCAACCACCACCACCCCCCAACACAACCCGATTACACTCTCAATCACTCGAATATCCCTTGACCTGACCCAAATGCTCCTCACCACGACCCAACCTGACCACCCTCACCACCTGACCTGAGGAGTCCTCCCAAGCATCCAACTACCTGTCCACCCATAAGACATAAAAGTAGAAAATTCGTCCCATTCAGTCTGCTTCACCATTCAATAATGTCTTGGCTGATCTGATAATCTTCCCAGCCACCCTGAGTACCACTCTGACCAGACCTGACCACCTTCCCATCCAACTAGTCCTTGACCCAACCAGACTCACCACCAACAACCCCCAGTAGTCTGACTCAACTATCCATCCTGACCACCCAACTATTTTCCAAAACCAGCCCGAATACTCCCCCAATCTGAACATCGACCCTGACCATCCAACTCTCCAAACCCAATGTGACTGCCTTTCCACACCAGATCTGACTTTCTACTGACCTGACCACTTACCAAGCTACTACCTTCACCCACATATCTGCCCAGTCTATTTACTTACCCATTGTAGGCACTTTATGCATCTAACATTTACCCACCAACTTATCTGCCTGCCACATACCCATTTACCCATCTCACCAATCCCCCTTTTTATCCAACTACCTGCCTCACCCATTATTTATGTATTCATCCATCCATTTACCCATTCACTCATTCATTCACTAACTTTCAAAGATTGGACCATACCACAGTTAGTGCCATAAAAAGGAATTTGTCTTATCTTTTCTGATTCCACATTTTTCCAGTGCAGTTCTTTAAGGGATGGTGCATTGTGCATTTCTGCAAAATTTCCTGGGGATCTGAGTGTTCTAGAAGAAATGCACAGCAGCGTTTACTCAGAAATTTATAGGCACAGTGGCAATCCACACAGTAATGCTGATTGGGAGATTTAAACTAATAATTTCCCGGTGAAGTATATCCAAGAAGGATATTTCTTAATATGATAAATTCAGCATGATAAGCAAAACAATGACAAATCTTACCACCCATGTTTGATCAAACATGTTTATGATATCAACTGTTTTCCTCCCCTCCTTTTCAAAAGACGACCTGAAATTTATGCTACACTGGCCATCCTAATTAGGTAGCACAACCAAACCCTATCCTGTTGAGGTTCAATGTGCATACTTTGGCACTTTCCAGCAAGGGAGGGCAATCAGAAACCCTGACTCTTTTCCCCTTTGCTCAAGGTTCCTCATTTGAGATAATTTATCTCATTTCCGACCATTGAATGAATTAGGGCCTTCCTAGTTGTATCGTTTGGTGTTAGAGTAGTACATTTATCAAGGAGCTGGTGTATGTTCTTGTTTATTGGTGTGTGAAAAGTAAATTATAAGGAAAAAAAACTGCAGTGGAATTTATGCTGGTTGTAAACTTGTGCAATTAATTATTCACAACATATTGTTCAGGAAAGAAAACAGAAGTACTTGCTTAAAATTAATTTAATGGGATGTAGACATTGCTGGCTGGACCAGCATTTATTGCCCAACCCTAGCTTCAAAAGGGTTGCAGTCTACATGCTGTAGGTAGACTCACAATACCATTAAGGAGGGAATTCCAGGATTTTAACATAACAACATCATAGGGACAATGATATATTTCCAAGTCAGGATGGTGAGTGGCTTGGAGGGAAACCTGCAGCTGGTGGTGGTCTATGTATCTACTACCCTTGTCCTTCTGGATGGTAGTGGTCATTTATTTGCAAGGTGTTGTTAAAGGAGCCTTGCTGAATTACTGAAATGTACCTTTGTAGATGGTATACATTGCTGCTACTGAGTGTCGGTGGTTGGTTAGAGGATCTCTGTGGATGTGGTGCCGATCACACAGGCTACTTTGTCCTGGTTGGTGTCAAGTTTCTTGAGCGTTTATGGTGCTGCATTCCATCGCACAGCTGCCTTGTGTCTTGTAGGTGGTGGACAGGCTTGCATTTATATAGTGTTGTCATAACTCAGGACATCCCAAAGTAGTTTACACCCAAATGAATTTTGAAATGTAGTAATTGTTGTAAAGTTTTAAACGTGACAACCATGTTTTTTACTGCAAGATCCCACACACAGGAATGTGATTAATGAGCAGATATTCTGCCTTTTTTTAAACTGGTGCTGATTTGGGGAATAAGTGCTAGTGAGAAAAGCAGGGAGAGATCCTAGACTCTTCTTTGAAATAGTGCCATGGATCTTTTACATGCACCTAAAAGGGCAGACAGGACCTCATTCAAAAGATGGCATCTCTGACAGTGCAGCATTCTCTTAGTATTGCATTGGTGCATCAGCCAAAACATTGTGCCAAATTCTCTGGAGTGGGTTTATGAAACCACTGCCTCCTGACTCAGAGGCAGCTGACTGAATCATGCATCAAAAATTTCTGATGATTCTCAAATAGAGTGATATTGGCTTATATCTACTTATTAGCAGTGCAGCTATATGTTGGCATTAATTTGGATTGTAATTCTAACCATAAGCTGGGTAGCAGTACATTTGTAGAAAACTATAACAGTAAACTGATTCTGAATTGTAAGTGATATTGATGTCCAAATGATGTCCTACATCTCTTTGATATTATAATTCCCACAGGGGCCGATAATTTTAAAGTAAACCTTAAATGTCTAATGACTGATTTAAAGGAATTGCATAACAAAATTTCAAGACATTTACTATAACAAAGAAACTGTAAGCAACTTTGAGTAAACATCACTTAGTGGACAAATAATACACTAAACACAAAAGAAACAATGTTAGTTTCTTAAGATGACTAATAACCCTATGCTGCTTTTACACATTTTAGCATCGCTTTGTAGTGTTAAAGTCTTTGTAGAACACTGTTCAGAATTACGTTTGGCTTCCAGTGGACTCAATTCTCCCCATTTCATTGTGTCACAACATTCCATGACAGTCAATGGTCCTTTCTGTCAGTCTTCTGAAAAGTCCAGAAGCCACCTGCAACAGCATGGCTCACTCCAATGATTCCTTTCCCAACAATGCCAAAACAAACTTATGTGAGTTTTTTTTATTTCCATGTGTTCAATCTCTTTGACCGGAAAACATTGTCTCACCTGCATTCTTCCTGCTAGCTGACAGTGAAAACAGGCCTTTTCCTTGTGTTGTTCCCTGTTTCTCGTCTTCTCCAGGTATCATGCTTTCTCCCCCTCTTGCCCTCTCTCCCCATTTATCTGTTCAACTTCTCTGATGCTGTGAGTCTGCAATAGCAAGAATATCTGCTTCTCTCTGTGTTTAATGTGTTAAACATTTCCGGTGCATTTCAGTAGTACTCAGTTTGGGCTTCTGATCTCCATGGTAAATGGACCCATCTCCTACCTACTAACCTCATCCCGCCCCCTTGACCTGTCTGTCCTCCCTGGACTGACCTATCTCCTCCCTACCTCCCCACCTACACTCACCTTTACCGGCTCCATCCCCGCCTCTTTGACCGGTCTGTCTCCTCTCCACCTATCTTCTCCTCTATCCATCTTCTATCCGCCTCCCCCTGTCTCCCTATTTATTTCAGAACCCCCTTCCCCTCCCCCATTTCTGAAGAAGGGTCTAGGCCCGAAACGTCAGCCTTCCTGCTCCTCTGATGCTGCTTTGCCTGCTGTGTTCATCCAGCTCTGTCTCATAGAGGCTTGCTGTTGGGCAAACCTCGTAATGAATCTCTGTCCCTCTTTATTAGTCCATTTTATCCTTAATTAAAATGATTGTTTAAGACATCATCATCTCATAAAATGTTGATATGGTGTTATCTGCTAGAATCATTTTTTTTCCAATTTGGCAGTTAAAAAAGCTCCAAAAAGTAGGTGTATTTTCTATGTCTGAAATTCATACGATCTGAAGGAAAGAATAACCAGCAGTTTTCTGCTTACAGAAATCAACCTCTGTGAGGTTAATAATGGTGGCTGTTCAGTGCACTCCAACTGCACCAATGTTTCTGCAGGAGAGAGAACATGCACTTGTCATGATGGTTACACTGGTGATGGGCTAATCTGTTTAGGTAAGTACCAAATCTGATGTTGTGCCAAGTAGAGCAATCAGTGCGTTGGTCATATTTATAACAATTCAGCTTTGGCTTAAATTAAATTAAATTTTAGATCCAAATGCTTTTGGATTAAGAATAACATAGCGCGCACACATGCAGTGTCCAATAATTACATTTTCCAAGTGCATAAAGTGATGAACTAAGACGTTAGTCCAGTTGTCATTCATTGCTGCAGCCAGAAATATTTATTCTTTGTACCCATAAAGCTGTTCCAGGTGTTTGTCATTTACAACACAATGGAATAGATTTTAACCATTTGCGTGTTAAGGAAAAGATGTTCTCAAAAATTAGGCACTTTGTAGAATGGGTCTAGTATGCAAATAGCTTTCATAACAAAGTAAAGAAGTTGATAGCACACATTAAAATAAATTTATATGATCGAATAGCCACCATGAAGGCACAGTTGGGTGATAACAAGAATTGGGCCCTGAGTATTATGAAGTGAAGTACATTCAAGAATGTGAAGCTAGACAAAAGTGGAGGGCCAGCATTGTTATTCAAAGATGGCATTTGGTGCAATAGTTAGAGAGTACCTTAGTTTAGGAGGTCGAAATGTGGAATCAGTTTGGGTGAAGTAGGGGAAAGATGTCATTCACGGGATTGGTCTATAGGACCAAAACAGTAACCACAATGTAGTTTGAAGTGTAAAGAAAAAATTTGGATACTTTTGATAAAAGACCAGCAAGAATCATAAATGAATTAAATCTACAGAAAAACTGAAAAAAATCAGTTTGGCATTGGCACCTGGATGAGGTGATCATTAAATATTTTTGAGATAATTTCTGAGAGCAATATGTTCCGAAGCCAAATAAGGAGCAGGTTGTAAAAGATTTTGTATTCTGTAATGTGACAACAGTTAATAGTTTCAGTGTTAGGCACCCCTGGAGAGCAGCAAACAAAATATGACTGAATTTTACAACCAGTTTGAAAGGAAATGGAGTGAGTTCAAGACTAGTATTTTGATGGTAAATAAGGACAAGTATATGAGCATGAAAAAATCCTGAAAGAACTGCAAATGCTAGAAATCTGAAACAAAAACAGAAATTGCTGAAAAATCTCAGCAAATCTGGCAGCATCTGTGGAGAGAAATCAGAGTTAGCATTTCGGGTCCAGTGACTCTGAAGAACTCTGATTTCTCTTCACAGATGCTGCCAGACCTGCCGAGACTTTCCAGCAATTTTTGCCTCTGTCTGTGGATATGAAAACTGATCAAGCTAACTTGAAGTGGGGGATACTGAACTAGACGATAGATCAATAGAGAAGCAGAGATATTCAAGGGGATATTTCAGAATTTAACGTACATTCTTGCTACAAGGAAAAATTCTATAGGGATAACAAAGATTAATTAAAGAAGTTAAGGAAAGCAATAAACTTAGTGGCAGGTCAAATGATTGGATAGAAATGAACAACAGAGAATGACAAAAAATTAATCAGAAGAAAGAAATTAGTGTATGAAAGGAGATGAGAAATAGTGGGGGAAAGAAGTCACTTGTGGGAGTAATCTACAGGCATCAAACAGCAACCACAATGTTGGAAGAAGGATACAAGAATAAGTATTGAGTATTTGTGAACCACAAAAAATGATATAGCAAGTAGTTAAGAAGGCTAATGGAATGCTGCCGTTTATTATGAGAACAATTGAACATAAAAGTAAGGATGTTGTGTTATGTTTCAGTTATACAGGGCATTGATGAAACACTTCTCAAATATTGTGTGCAGTTGTGGTTTCCTTATTAAAGAAAACATAAATGTGTTGAGGTGGTTCAGAGGAGGTCTACTCGGTTGCTACTTCAAATAAATAGTTTGTCTTTTGAGGAGATTAGAAGAGTTAGGGGCACATTTTAAAAATTAGGGATCACCTTTTTAGGACAGAAATAGAAGATTTGTTTTCTGTGAGAGGTGTATCCAACTTTGGAACTCTCTACCTTAGAATGCATTGAAGATGGGATATTGAGTAGTTTTCACGCAGAAGGAAGTAAATTCCCATCAGGCAAGGAAGTCGAAGGTTATCGGATCCAGATGGGAATGTGGACTTCAAACCACAAACAGATCACTCCATTTTGATCAGAAGACTAAAAGGCAATTATTATCAAAGTGGGGAGAAATGTCAAAATGCATTAGTGCAGAGGGATCTAGGTGTCCTTATACATGAGTTGCGGAAAGCTAGTATGCAGGTATAGCAGATAATAAGGAGGGAAAATAGAATTTTAGCACTTATTGCTAAAGGAATGGACTATAAAAGTAAATAAGTGTTGTTGCAGTTGTACAAGCATCGGTGAGGCTGCATCTGCATATGGCAGCCTGGCCTATGGCATACAGATTTTGTCCCCATACTTCGAAAAGAATGTAATTGCATTGGTGATAGTTCAGAAAAGGCTCACTAGATTCATTCCAGAGATAAAAGGATTGTCTTATGAGGAGAGATTGAGCAGCTAATGCCTATACTCGCTAGAGTTTAGAAGGATGAGGGGAGATCTAATTGAGGTATATATGATGCTAGAGAGGATTGACAAAGTAGACGTAAGAGAGGATGTTTCCCCATGTGGGGCAATCTAGAATAAGAGGCCATCATTTTAGGCTCAGGGGTGGCAGATTTAAAACAGATGAGGAGGAATTACTTCTCTCAAATAGTCATGAATCTATGGAATTCACCACCTCAAGAGTGTGGAGGCGACACTGAATACATTTAAGGAAGACGGAGAGTTTTTTTTTAAACTTAATAATGGGTTAAAGGATTATGGAGAGCAGGCAGAGAAGTGGAGTTTAGGTTGAGATGAGGTCAACCATGGTCATATTAAATGGTGGAGTAGGCCCAGGGCCAAATTGCTATTCCTGTTCCTTGTTCTTACATTGTTATGCTCAGTTCGTGATTTTATAGAATGATAGAACAGGCTCAAGGTACTTAATCACCTCTACCTGCTCTGAATTCATAGTATAACAAGTTGAAACTCTACTCAATGGTCATAGTAACTGTAGAAAAATACAAAGAACATTGTTTGTATTCTATGGTTTAGCAGGTTAATCACACAAAATATCTCTGAGTAGCTGTCGTGGCTGATTCTGAGGAGCAGCAGCAGTGCTAGGAACCCACTTGCAGAAGGAGTCAGGATCCAACAACAATTAATTGCACTCTGAGCTTGTGGGTTATAGTTTTGGTTGAGATAAAAGTAGGTCAGCTGTGCTCCCGGCATGCTGGCCAGATGCTAGCAGAAGAAGGATGCATTGCTTAAAATATTCGCAACATTCCTGCCTGGTGGTGGTAAATGAGTGTAGGGGAGTGATCTCCAGATGGATAGGTCCAGTGATTAGAGGCTTTCAGCTCGCTGGGGGGTGAGTGCGCTGAATCCTAATGACCTTGGAGCTTCATGTGTTTAATTACTAAGCTGTCTGGGTGGTTGTACTGCCCTCCCCCACTGCCCCCTGCCAGGCTAATGCAGGAGTCTGACTCCGAGGGCAGGTTCTGTGAGGGCTGTCCACACAGCTGCTGTGTTCTGGCCTTATCCCTGATCTTAGCATCCTGTCTGTTGAAGCTCTTGCTGAACTTGGCCTCTGATTCACTAGTTCATGGCGCAAGCCTGTTTCTGATTCCCTGACACCGTAGTAGAGACTGATTTGCTTACGTTCAGGATTGAAACTTGAGCCTCAATTCACTTCAGTTGAATCGAGAGTCTGCCCATTCCAAGAGAACATCCAGAAACCAGTCACCAGTAGATTCATGGGCAATTATTTTAAGTGTGGGCGTGCAACATGTTGCAAAGTGTGATTGTACTCTTGAAAAAACTTTCTTTTCATGTACAGTGTAGCTGGTTTGTTAAACATGATCCCCTTACGACTGGGATATATCGTGGTTCAAATCCAGGTTTCAAATGAAAGCTTTAAAAGTTCCAGGAGAAACACATTAGGAAAATATCAGCTGAGTTCCCTAGATATGCAGTATAAGACTACAATCTAGAGAAAACATAAGAAATGGGAGCAGGAGTAGGCCATCCGGCCCATCGAGCCCACTCCGCCATTCAATAAGATCATGGCTGATCTTTTCGTGGACTTAGATCCACTTACCCGCCCGCTCACCATAACCCTTAATTCCACTACTGTTAAAAAAATCTATCTTTGCCCTAAAAACATTCAATGAGGTAGCCTGAACTGCTTCACTGGGCAGGGAATTTCACAGATTCACAACCGTTTGGGTGAAGAAGTTCTTCTTCAACACAGTACTAAATCTGCGCCCCCTCATTTTGAGGCTATGCCCCCTAGTTCTAGTTTCACCAACCAATGGAAACAACCTCCCTGCTTCTATCTTATCTATTCCCTTCATAATTTTATATGCTTCTATAGGAACCCCACTCATTTCTTCTAAATTCCAATGAGTATAGTCCCAGTTTACTCAATCTCTCCTCATAAGCCAATGCTCTCAACTGCAGAATCAACCTAGTGAATCTCCTCTGCACCCCCTCCAGTGCCAGTACATCCTTTCTCAAGTAAGGAGACCAAAACTGTACATGGTGCTCCAGGAGTGGCCTATAGAGCTGCAGCATAACCTCCCTAATTTTAAACTCCATCCCTCTAGCAGTGAAGGAAAATATTCCATTTGCCTCTTAATTACCTGCTGCACCTGCAAACCAACGTTTTGTAATTCATACATAAGAACACCCAGGTCCCTCTGCAAAGCAGCGTGCTGCAATTTTTCACCATTTAACTAATAGTCCATTTTGCTGTTATTCCTATCAAAATGGATGACTTCACATTCACCAACATTGTACTCCATCTGCGGGACCCTTGCACATTCACTTAACCTATCTATATCCCTCGGCAGACTTTAAGCGTCCTCTGCATAGTTTGCTCTACCATTCATCTTAGTGTTATCTGCAAACTTTGACACACTACACTTGGTCCACAACTCTAAATCATCTATTTAAATTATAAACAATTGCAGTCCCAACATTGATCTCTGATGCACACCACTAGCCACTGATTGCGAACCAGAAAAACACTCATTGTTTTCTGTTAGTTAACCAATCCTCTATCCACGCTAACACATTACCCACGATGCCGTGCACCTTTATCTTATGCAGTAGGCTTTTGTGCGGCACTTTGTTGAATGCCTTTTGGAAATCCAGATGCACCACATCCACTGGTTCCCTATTGTCCACTGCAGTCATAATGACCTCAAAGAATTCTAGTAAATTAGTTAAACGTGACCTGCCGTTCATGAACCCATGCTGTGTCTTCCTGATAGGACAATTTCTATCCCGATGTCTCGCTGTTTCTTCCTTGATTATAGATTCAAGCATTTTCCCCACTACAGAAGGCAGCTTCCCTGTAAAAACAGTGGCAGGATTAGTCACCAATATTCAAGCTTTACTAGACTTACTATTTGCTGTGACTTAGCCAGTCCCAGAACATAGTGAACTACTACATGGTGAGTCATCTCACTGGGGATTGGATAGTTGGAAAAACTTCCTTTTGGCAGAGTGAAGCAATTGGCAACTTCAGAGTAAACAACAGTTTAGGAAGGAAGAGAGATACATATGAACATACAAACAAAGCAGAAGTTGACCGTACAATCACTTGAGCCTCCTCTGCCAATCAATAAGATCACGGCTGATCTGACTGTAACCTCAAATCCAAATTCCTACTTAATATTCACACATTCTGCTTTCACCACTATTTCAGGGAGACAGTTCCAAAGACTCATGACCTCAGAACAAAAATGCCCCATTTCTGTTTAAATGAATGACCCCTTGTTTTTAAACTATAACTCTTGGTTCTTGATTCTCCCAGAAGTAACATCCTCTCCACATCTATTCTGTCAAGCCCCTTATGTTTCGATCAAGTCATGCCGTACTCTTCTAAACTCCAGCAGCTACAATCATAGCCATGCAATCTTTCCTTATACGACAATCTGTTCATTCCAGGTATTAGTCTGTTAAACTTTGTCTGAACTACATCCAATGCATTATATCCTTTCTTAAATTCAGAAATTAATTAATTCACCCTAGATAGTATCTTCTGAACTCATGACCACTACCATCTAGAAGGACAAGAGCAGCAAAACATGGGACCACTCACTTCCAGCTTCTCCTCCACATCACTCACCATGGTGAGGACAGGACTGCCTGTGCTGTGCAGGTGACTGCAGCCCTGAATGTCTTTGCATTGAGATCATTCCAGGCTGGAACAGACTACGTCTGAAATATCGCCCAGTTGTCTGCCCACTGTTACATCACAGGCATGATAGAGGCTTTTCATAGCAGGGAAGGTGACTTAATAACTACCTTTGCTCAAAGAGAAGCAAGCAGTGGAGAACAGTTTTTCCTTAATCCTGCTTCTGGCGGCAGTTCGGGTGTACAGGCCAGCAAGCTCTCGGTTGCCTGCTACGTCTAAATGCAGGTCACCACTCTTTCCAGAGGTAGGTGTAGCATGAGGGCCTGACTCATCATGGGAGAAACAAACTCTTCCACTCTTTCTCCTGTAGTGCAAGGTGCAGCTGAAAATTTCTTGTACTTCACACATTCTCTGCTTCTACTTCAGCATTGTTCTCTTCATCAATGGTGTCCTCAATGCTCAAGGCCTGTGACTAGCTAAGCATAGCTGTGTGGGCCTTTTCCTCCCTTACGGAAACTCTTCTCCATGTTGTACCTGCCTCTGTCACCTGCTCCTCTTTGCTTGTGATACATACTTTACCATGTGATAAAATAGCACTCTGTCTTGATGGCCCCAATAACAATGCATTTATCTGAGTTAGGATGGGGGGTGGGGAAATGCCTGAAGGAGGTGTGGAAAGTGAAACCATGAATTACAACTGATAAGGTGAGAGGGTTCTAAGTCATCATTATGCACATTATCTTATTTCAGTGACGGCTGACATCAGGTCTACATGTTTGATTTGTGTTCATTGTTGGACTGTGTAATATTTAATTTTCTTGGTAGGTGTCCGGGTGACCCCCATCTTTCTATCACCATTGGTTCAGTTCCTGCTTCTCTTGTGGAGGTGACTGGAGAGCCACCCCTGCTTCTCTACCTCTCCTTTGGTATTCTGTGCTCTCTTCTGTTAGGTGGAAAGCTAGTAGAGACTTGGGAATGTGAGCTTAGGAATGTTTTCAGAAAGACAACATTTGTCAAGAGTCCCATATGGAGGATGGGTGCACTATAAAGAGGGAGCATGTTAATGATGGCTGGTCACTTATAAATGTGAGAAGGGACTTCTGGACAGAAGGTTGTCTGAACATGTGTAGATATGAGGAGTGATGGCCAGGAAGAGACTGGGAAAGGCAGTAAAAGGATTTGTTCTTGAATGCTCCATGTCATTCGCCTTTCCTGCTTTGATCAGGTCATGAACCCTCTTTGCAGCAAGTGAGGCACAAACTGATCCCTGCAATGTCTAGCCATACCTGCTTGTTCTGAGGGTGCCTTTTCCTTCGTATCTGCGGGGAACAGAATCTCCTTGAAATCCCTTAAAGCCCCCAGTATTACTTCCAGACACATTCCCAAAGTGTGCTACTGGCTTGCTACTTTGAGACTCTTTGTGAATTCTGACTTTGTCAAGACATATCTACAGTGCTTCAATTTTATCCTTCACTGTAAGCATTTTAAATGTTACAGCTGAAATAGATTGAAATGGGTTCACATCACACCCACAGGCTTTAATTGGTTTGAAAATCCAGAAGTAAAAATCAATGGTTGCTTTTTAAAAAATACACAAGCACACTGCTAAACCTTATGTGAATGCATTACCAGCCTCCAAACTAAGTTGATCTGAAAGTTAAAATGCAGCTAAATTTGTCAGTAAACCTCTTATGTTACAGTGATAAACTGCAGGAAGGCTACAGTGCATGTCAAAATCCATCCCCCAGGTCCTGGTTTACCCATAATGAGCCTCAGAGGAGGTTGAACTTATGATTCTAATGGTTTGAATGTTTTTCTTTGCTGGCCATACCAAAGGTTTTGTACTCTCCACCTGTTCTGACAAAACATTGTTGTTCTGATAAGAATGCAGTTATATAATTGACTTTTGGGCTGTGCGACAGATTGAAAATAGGACATTGAGAAGTTTCAGCAAAGAGAGCATAAAGGGCTGAAGGTGAAATGAAAGGTTTTTAAATGGAAAGGTAAACGTTGTGAGTTCTTTGTTCCGCTAAGGTAAATTCAAAATGAACTAGACTGCAGGAAAACTTTGTTCATTATACCACATCTAGTTCCATTTAATAATTCATGTTATTGTATTTTATTCAAAATCAGAAATTGATGGTTGTAAAGAAGGAAATGGGGGTTGTCATGAGAAAGCAGAGTGCACCAAAACAGGACCAAATCGGGTAAGGCAATATTTTATACATGGATTTCTAGCTGTTCTGATTTGTTTAGTTTTGCCATTTACCATTTTATGCCATTGTTTTACTTTTGCGGCATTATAAGCAAGTTATGCAGATTTCGAAACTAATTTGTCATTAGAGTGCTAGAAATCAGAATAAGTGTTTCAGCAATGTTTGAAGTTAATTGAACTCCAACAGTAGCTGGATCTGTTAAAGGTTAAGCTGGCCATATACATTGTGACAGATATAAAAACTGTGTTAAATCAATTCTTCACAAACAAAACACTGAGCTCAAATTTTACTTTGGCTAAGGGCCAGACACATCTAGTTTGTTGGAGGTATTTTCACCACGAACCTGAAAGAGTTTTCTCACCATATCCTACCAAAGTCACCACATTAATTGTCGTTCTTGCCCCTATGGTATGTATTACGTCTGATTTCAGCCCCATTTTACCACACACTTTTACCAGAAGAACTCAGCACTCTGAATAACCACCCAAAGACCAGCATCCCTTGAGTCTGTGCCATCTTTGAAAGCCGGCTGCATGTCTGGAGGATTGTTGGCTTCTAGAGGCTGTAAGGAGAGATGGCTGAGAAGGGGAAGTTGGAACTGCATTTCTCTGACAGGGCCCTAGTTGATGGGCTGGTGTAATTCTCCACCACCACACTGACCCCGATGGAGACGAAGGTCTGATTGTGACCCACTCTCTGGAGCTCAGAGGCTCGGGTCCTCTGTATGAAACCATCCCATCTAGACCATGGTCGAAGCCCTGGACTGGTTTGGGAGGCTGCATTTGATGAACTGTGCTGGGTCCCCTGACTGATAGGTGCCCCCTATGTACTTCACAGAAAACTTCTTCTGTACGACTTTGTGGCATGGCCAATGTTTGCTGCAGATTCAGTGTGTTTGGTGCAAATGCTGCTGCCACATGGTATAGGTGTGATATTCATGTGGCACACTGCTGTATGACAACATGTGTGTGCCCTTGTCTGAGTGTAAATGAACAGCATTGCCAGCTGCCTGGTTGTGTGATTTTGCCAATGGGCAGTGCAAGGCACAGCAAGACAAGGTGTGCATGATGCAAGCATGCCAGTTGAACGCTGGCTAAGACAGCAAGTAACCAGTGCTGGTAGGCAGCCTGTTCCAAGCTCATGCTGGATACCTGTCCCTGCATGGTAACTGTGCCCTGTTCTGGTTGCTAGTTTGCTCTGCTAGGCAAGTCTGGCTTCCTGTGCACACTGCCAGTGCATTGTAGAGGTGCCAGGATGGTGGTGAGGATTTACTGAATGTCAGATGCCAATGCCCCTGAAGGTAGGGGACATGTGGCTGGTGCCCGTGGATCGTGCCGTGGGCTGGTCTTTGGCCATAGGCAACATGGAGGTCATTCGGAGGAAGTGGTCAGCTGAATCCACCATGTACCTGCTATGATTTCCACACTAGGCTTTTCCACTGGCTACTTTGGTAGGCAGAAGATCAGAAACAGAATATTGATGAGGCAAGTTGGGCCATTAATAAGGAGCTTAACAAGTGTTAATCACCGTAAATTGTCAATTCACTGATACCTGTCGCGAATCTTGCCATGCCACTTGGGACAAGTGTATAAAAGGAGTAAGATGATCTTGACATCCAGATGGGATTTGCCAGACTTCTTATCTGAATCTGCCACACATCTTACCATACCTCTCATCACTCAGTCTCCAGTAAGATTCCACTCAATATTGTAAATTTCCAGAACCGGGCAACTGAGCGCAGGAAAGATGTAGCTCTGAGACTCCAGTTTTTATTTCTCGGATTATAAGCGTACTAAACAAAATAATAGACTCTGCCTATTTTGCATCATACTGTACATGCTTACTTAGATATGTTCTTCATTTTAGGTCGCCTGTAATTGTTTCCCTGGATACTCTGGAGATGGCAGAAATTCCTGTGTACCCATCAACCCTTGTGAAAAGGTTAGCAACAAACTTACAGACCTAGAAATTCAAGACTACCCATCCTTACAGCAAATCAGTTTTGGAGCAGGGACCACAATCAGGCATTAGATCTCTTATCTATACATGTAAAGGGCCCAGTGAATATGTCAGGTATGGACACAGGATATCACTTGTTGGCCCATACCAACGTGTACTGTTGGTGTGCTTCCTGTCAGAACTTTTATGCAGCGGGATGTTGTACAAAACCTGAAAAATTGACAATTGTGACTTAATTGTAATGTCAGAACTGTTGTGGAGGATTGGATGTTCCTGTTAGAGGTAGTAACAGGAATTTGGATATTTCCGAGTTACAGGTTGGGGACGGGACGGTGGGGGTTGTTGTTGTCGGCATGCACTAGAGTTGGGCCCATAACTCGGGATGCAAGTGGGATGTAGCCATGGAGGGTACTGGGCACCTTTGGTGAGTTGGTTTAAAAAGTCTGCCTTATTTTCTACCACTTCATTCCAGTTATTTTATTTGGTATTAGGCTGTTTTGACTTTACACATCCTTTCATAACTCGTCCATCCATACCCAACTCACCCAGACTCATACATATCAACACATGTTAATCCATATTCCTCTATCCACCACTCACCTCCCTACACCCCCATGACCCCTCATATCCTCCATGCAATCCATACCCCTCCATTCAGCACTGATGGCTTCTCATATCCTTCATGCCAATCTCTTTCCCTCCACCCAGCCCCTTCATACCCTTGCCAGCCCACGACCTTCCACCCACACCAGTTGGTCCCTCTTAGTCATCAAGTCAATCTATGCCCCATCTCCCCACCTAATGGTTGATATCTAAGGAAGGATCTGGCATAAAGAGTGTTCAATGGACGTTCACTATATTAATCCCTGGGGTGGCAAAATTATGAGGAGACATTGAGGAAATGGGTCTGTATTCCCTAGAGTTTCAAAGTATGAGAGGTGATCACATTGAAACTTAAGAGATTTCTTACAGGGCATGACAGGGTGGATGTAGATAGGATGTTTCCCCCAGCTATGAGTCTAGACCAGGAGGTATAATCTCAAAATAAAGGAGTAGGCCATTTAAGACTGACATGAGGAAGAAGTTCTTCACTGAGTGTAATGATCTTTGGAATTCTCCACCCCAGAGGGCTGTGGAAGCTCAGTCATTGAACATTGAACATGGAAATCAACCAGTTTCTGAAGATTAATGTCATTAAGAGAAGTGTGCACAAGGGGCATTGTGTTGTAAGATCGGCCATGATTAAATTGAATCATCGGGTAGGCTTGATGGACTGAATGGCCTACTCCTGTTCTTATGTTCCTATCTGGCCAAAATATTATTGATATTAAATCTAAAAATTGCTTTAGTTCTAATTTTTACCTTCGTCTCCAAATGAAGAACAATGGAGACTGTGGACCATTTGCCAGCTGCGAAGCAACAGGGCCAGGAATTCGAAAATGTACCTGCAGGAGGAACTACATTAAGGTTGGACTTTCTTGTCGAGGCAAAATTTCACAGGTAGTATTCAACATTATTTTTAATTGGAGATTTTGGACATTTAAAATTGAACTTCAGTTATTCCAAGACTACTTATTTACTACGACATACATATCATGAACAAATGCAGAAAAGGGAATCAAACAGAATATTTTTTAGAATTATGTTTTGTTCAATTATTTAGTATTTTATATTGGCGCTGCAGTGCAGTCTTCAAGCAGGACCAATGGCCAGAGAGCATCCTTCAGATGAGGTATTCATTGAAGGTCCTGTCTGCTTGATCTAGTGGTTAAGGGTAAACCTAAAAATTCCCTGAGCATGATTTTCATCCTTTGGCTCCCTGATTCTCACCTGAATACAGGGGCAGTTGAAAATTAGAGAGGACACCATCGTTGCCTATTGACATAATGATACAATGTCCAGAAACCTATTTTTAAACAAAAATGTCCTAAAGTTGGTGGATGTTCAAGGAATAATCTAGAAATGAACAAGAGTTTCTCTCCTCCACAGTAATACTGCAAATTGCTTGTGGCCTGTGCTTGTCCCTATTCCTTGATTGGCTCCACATACCCTCTTCCTCCTCCAACATGAACTGCTCCTGTCCCAGACTGACCACCTGCTTGGTAGCGTTTAAATGATGAATTCTTGACAAAGGTTTTGGATGTGCACTGCTGCTGCTCCATAGATTTTTTTCAGAGTTTCAATTGAGTCAGATCAGTGGTGATCTCCATCGAATCATGTAGCAGGTTTGATGGACTGAATGGCCTACCCTTGCTCCTATTTCATAAGATTTTTGGATTCTTCCAGTGTCTGTGTCGATATTATTAAATCACGCCATCAATGGAACGCAGAGAGGTTGATTGATAACTTCAGATGGATGGCAAGTTAATATGAATACTGGATAAGTATAAGTGACTTCTCACCTGAAACCATCCAGTGCACTGGCCTCCCTCACAAGACCTTACCTGAGGCAATGATAAACAATCTGAACATATTTTGCAACCACCCAGTTTATGTCAGATGGGACAAATTGAAATCAGACCTTTCTCCTCAATGACCTCTCATTTTTGTTTTGAGAGGTGGTTATGCCTCTAAAATATCTCTCACATTTACATAAACTCAGCACACCTCATTCTGTGTGAAACACTTTGAAGTATTCCTCAGAGTCTGTGTAAGATAATATATGAATGCAAGTCTCCATTTTTGTTAGTGAAATTACTGTTACTATCATAAAATATAAATGCTTGGAACAAACTTATTCTTATTTCAGCTTTCAAATCAAAAAATAAATTCTGAATTATTTTGACAGGAACTTGTCCGGGAATCAGATGCTGCATTGTTTTACAAATATCTTCAGGTAGTGATGAACCATTTTAATATTTCCAGGCTAAATTTTTGGAGGTTATCTGTTAAAACTTTGCTCGACCACTCTTCATTTTGTTTTGAACCATTGCAGGAAAATGATATCAAAGAACTTAATGGTAAAGGACCATTCACTGTGTTTGTGCCAAGACCTGACACACTTACTCAGGATAACACGGTAAATGTATTTTAATTACACAGATCATTGTTATTCTCATATTACTTGTAGGCATGTATGTCTTAGCATTTTCCAAACCACTACTGTCTTCATTTTGCAGTAAGGAATACACAGCCTCAGAGACACATCTTTTTGAAAGGTCAGCAATGTGAAATGCTGGGCTGAAAGATGCTGTGGTGCAGTGGGTGGCTTCCCTGCCTCTAACCCTGGAGCTCCAGGTTCAAGTCTCACTCTGGAACTTGATGCCTGTGGATGATGCGATTGTCAACCTGCAATCCTTCCAATATGGCAGGTGGTAGGAGTTGGAGAATCTCCTGGTCACCCAGAGCCACTTTGACAGCTGCAGTCTATCAGTGCCAAACCCCAGGCCAATATTCTGGGGTCATGGGTTCAAATCCCAGCATGGCAGATGGTAGAGTTTGAATTCAATACAAATCTGAATTAAAGAGCTGACCTATTGGCAACCATGTAATTATTTCTGACTGTTGTAAAAATCCATCTGAGTTCCCTACAGCATTTAAAGAGGGCAACTCGCCACCACTTTCTCAAGGGCAAGGGACAAGCAATAAGTGCTGACCCAGCCAGCGATAGAAACATCCCACATCCCATGTGTGAGTAAAAAAAAAAATGCCCTTCAGGGAAGGAAATTTGCCATTCTTACTTGGTCTGGTCTACATGTAACTCCATACCTCTAATGTGGTTGACTTTTAGGAAATTGAGAACCGGCGGTAAATGCTGGCCTCGGCAGTGACTCCCAACTTATGGTCAAATGAATAAAAAAAAACAGATTCCACGCGCTTAAAAAATTCATGCACAGGTTCTTGCCAAGAGCTGTATTTGGTAGCTAGTGTTCTCCTTGCTTCAAGAGATTGCTGGAAAAATAGTTTTAATCAAAGAATGATCTGGCATATAAGTATTCCACAGTGTTTTAAAATTTGGACTTATGTTAGAAATGTATTGCTAAATATTGCTTCTAACCTCATTCCATGTTACAAATCCAAAGGATTGTTAGCCTGACACACTTGAAGCAAGAGATAACAAGGTGTAGAGCTGGTTGAACACAGCAGGCCAAGCAGCATTGTAGGAGCAGGAAAGCTGACGTTTCGGGCCTAGACCTTTCTTCAGAAATGGGGGAGGGGAAGGGGCTTGAAGCAATGCTGAGAACGTTTAATAATTTTGTAAAATTGATGCTGACTACTTGACATCACGTGATAATTAGAGGTGCATGAGCGGCTTATACCTCAATAAATTTGTAGACTATGAGAGACCCAGCCCTGAGGCTTTCGCAGGGCATGGCAGACAATGCAATTGCTAAAAAGCCTGAGGCAATTGGAAATGCAGAGATGATCAAGTCAAAGGTCAGGAGATCCCAAGACAGTCACTGTTACTGTAACCGGCAGCTGCCAACAGAGCTTTTCACTGCAGGTAGGCTGAGCCCTCAACCCATCTGTGTGAAAATCGTTGGTGAACTCGGGGTAGTGTTAGATTCATGTAACCATTATAGCTTCACAATCAGGGCCCCTGATCAGATCCAGACACCAGACCAAAACTTCACATGGGGTTGCCAGAAGTCAAATGTCAGCCTTGCTCTACTCCACCCTTCCAGTGGGACCTCAGAAGAGGCCAACAATATTGGAAAATCAGAGTCATGCTGCCACTGATTTCCTTTTTAGTCCATTGACATCATAGATTGGGAAATTATGAGCATCACATTATAGTTTTTCTACAGTGTAGCCCTGCATTTAAACTTGTTCCGTTTCTTTGATGCAAAGTTTGATGTGAAACATAAGCTTAGAGGGTCTCCCATTAAAAATGGGGATGAGGTAGAGTTTCTTCACTTTGTCTTTGTTATTCTCTATGCCAGGGAGCAGTCGGCAGGGCCAATGAATATATTTAAGGCTGACTTAGACAGATTTTTGATCTACAAGGAGCACATGATTTATTGGAGGCAGGCAGGAAAGTGAAGTTGAGGCCATGATCAGATCATCCATGATCCTCTTAAATGGCAGAGCAGGTTCAAGGACTGAATAGCCTACTCCAGCTCCTATGTTCTTATGATCCTAACTCGATTATGAGCAGCCTTTGTCAAGTGAATGAGAGAACTTTCTTGACAGATGGAAGAATGGAAAACACGTGGTTTGATTGGAGATTTACTTCGATATCACATAGTAGGCTGTGGGAAACTTCACTACGATGATCTAAGGAAACAGAGTTCCCTCATTGCTTTATCTGGAAATGCCATTCAGGTCTCCTGGAAACAGGTAGGTGTGTTGACATTTCAGCATATCCTCCAGGTTGAGCTCTGAATAATGAATTGTACAGTAAACGTCTTTAAATTGCCACCTGGACCTCAAGCTTCTTAAAAAAAGAGGTCTCTGGTTTCTTATTGATATTGTATGCAGGGATAAAGCAAAAATATATTTTTGTAATTTAAGAGCTTTTCATCATTCCTCATGAGGCATCTGAGGAATATTTTAATATTATGACAGCTGGACTGCCCAAATTAAGGAAAAATTGCCTCGTGTGTGTCAACCCAAATTTGTCTTGATCCCTGTCTTGTACATCTCCCTGTAACATAATAACTCATCTCAGAAACACACAACTCCTCCGTGGCTTCTGCATCTTAGGTTGCATTAATTCAATTTAAAATACGATTCTACCTTTTACATGACAGTAAGATTCTTTCCTTATTGTCTATTTTCATGTTTATACATTGTAGATTTTTCTGATCTTCCCTCATTACTTGATCCTGATGCCAGGGTTCAATCTTGTGACTCATCTTTGTACCAACTTCATGGTCTGTGTTCTCTTTGTTGCTTGTTGACCAAAAATGGGGACAGAACTAAAAGCGATTGATCACATGATCACAGTGCATAGTTTGTCCATAATTGCCCCTACTCTTTGCTTTGACAATACCATCCAGTATGTTTATTGGTGATGCAGTTTCATGATTCATATTAACTACTGGATCTGACATTACTCCAGATTCCTTTCAGCTCACTTCTATACCTGTACATCTCACATGTGCTGTGGTGTATGAGACCCATTCTTCCTGCAAACACACCAGGAATGTGCAGGTTGGGTGTATTAGCCAAGGGAAATGCATAGTTACAGGCATAGAGTAGGTGGCAGGGTTGGTGTGAATTTGATGGGCCGAATGGCCTGCTTTCACACTCTAGGGATTCTATGATTCTATATCTCCATTCCAAATAATAAATTGCATTTCCCTCTCCGTCAGGCTACTCACAGAATCATAGAATTATTATGGTGCAGGAGGAGGCCATTAGGCCCATCATGTTTAAACTGGCTCTACAAATGTGTGTTTTGACATTGGTCCATTCTCCTGCCTTTCCTCCATAACCTTGCTCATTTTTTCCATTCGGATAATCACCGAATACTTTGATTGAACCTGTCTCTACGAATTTCTGGGCAGTACATTCCAAACCCTCGCTACTAAAAATGTGTATATATGTTTTCTCATGTTGTTTTTGAAAATTACATCAAATCTGTGCCCCTTGTTCTTGATCCTTTTATGAGGGGGAACAGTTTTTCCCTATCTACTCCATTCAGACCCAGTTTGAATTTTGAAAGCTGCACCTCTTAGCCTTCTCCTGTCCAGGGAAAACATTGAAATGTCATAGGAGATTTAAGCACAAAGCCTGAAAATCATGAAGCAGGTAATCTTTATTCCACGTGCATCAGGTCTTTTCAAACATGAAGGCGAAGTTAAACAAAGACGAGTGTAATTACATAGTATTACACTGGTCGTTCACAGCTGGTAGAGAAGGATTTTTGTCTGCCTCTCTTCAGAGATTTCATTTTGACAAAGATGTCCTTCCCTCCAGGGAGAGTCTGCTCAAACTCCACTGCTCAGTTCCCTCGCTCACTGTTGCCCCTCCCCACTTTTCTGCTGGAGGCCCAGTTACACCAGATTATTTTCATGACTGCATTTTTACATCCGTGGGACTATTCTGTACACCTATTCTGCATTATCTCTGTTGTGTTTATATCCGTTTTGGAATGCGCATGTGAATACATTTGTTAGCCTAACCTAAGACAAACTGCGAGATAATAAGAACTGCAGATGCTGGAGTCAGAGTCAATACAGTGTGGAGCTGGACGAACACAGCAGGCCAGGCAGCATCAGAGGAGCAGGAAAGCTGAC